TGCGATCTCCCTCCACCTCCACCCCTGAGGTGGAAATGCGGTATCCAAGGAAGGAGATGGACTGCTGGAAAAACATACACTTCTCTGCCTTAGCATAAAGGTCATTCTCCAACAGTCGGGCAAACACCTCTCGAACCAGTGACACATGCTCAGTGCGAGTAGCGGAATACACCAGGATGTCATCGATGTAGACCACTACACCGCGACCAAGCATGTCCCGAAACACCTCGTTCACAAAGGACTGGAAAACTGAGGGAGAATGGTCATCACCAGGTATTCATAATGCCCTGTGGTGGTGCTGAATGCTGTCTTCCACTCATCTCCCTCTCGGATACGCACCAGGTTGTACGCACTCCTGAGATCCAATTTGGTGAAGAAGCACGCCCCATGCATCGATTGAACCACTGAAGGAATGAGGGGGAGAGGATAACTAAATCTGATTGTCTCCCTGTTCAGTGGTCGATAATCAATGCACGGGTGCAGACCTCCGTCCTTCTTCTTCACAAAGAAGAAACTTGAGGAGACGGGTGAAGTGGAGGGACGTATATACCCTTGACGCAGTGACTCGGTGACATATGTCTCCATAGCCACCGTTTCCGCCTCTGACAGGGAGTATATATGACTCCTGGAAGGTACAGCGTCTACCCTGAGGTTTATTGCGCAATCCCCTGCCCAGCTAGGAGGTGACTTAGTCGCTTGCGTTTTAGAGAACACTTGCGCCAGATCACGGTATTTGGGGGAATGCGCACGGTGGAGGTACTATCTGGACTTTCCACCGTGGTTGCACCAACGGAAACATCTAGACACCTACACTGACACTCACGCGACCACCCCGTGAGAGCCATCTGCGGCCATGAGAAGGTGGGGTTGTGGAGTGCTAACCAAGGGATACCTAATACCACAGGGAAAGCAGGAGATTCAATCATAGAAAAAAATCACCTGTTCAAAATGATTCTCCTGCGTGATCATGGTGACTGGTATAGTAAAATCGGACCCTAATGGTTGACTATCGAGTGCTCTGAGGGGACGTGGAATGGAGAGGGGAACCAATGAACCAATGCGAATGCCCTATCCATAAAGTTCCCAGCTGCACCTGAATCGACTAGCGCCTTACACTGGGGAACTACCATGTGATTGGGAAAGTGGATAGGTAGGGTACAGTGCGCAACAGAGGGCTATGAACAAGTGTGGGTGTTCGATACCTGGTGTGATGCGTGAGTGCCCTGCCTGCCGCCTCCAGGCCCAAAAGAAAGTTGACTACGACGTGTGGTGGATTGTCCCTTCGTGCCACCAGAGTGGCACTGTCGCTGTCCTCCTCCGCTCTCTCAGCCGGCGGTTCCACCCAGCTCTATCTGCTCGAGGTCCAAGTCTTCCGTGGTGGAAAAGGGCAGACCCCTACCAGGACGTCCTCTGGCTGCCAGCAGGTTGTCCAACCGAATGGCCATGTCCACCAGTTTATCGAAGGACAACATGGTGTCCCGGCAGGCTAGCTCACGTCGGACGTCCTCCCGCAGATTGCACCGGAAATGGTCGATCAGGGCCCGCTCGTTCCACCCGGACCCTGCTGCCAGCGTCCGGAACTCCAACGCAAAGTCCTGAGCGGACCTCGTCCCCTGCCTCAGGTGGACCAGTCGCTCACCCGCCTCTCGACCCTCGGGCGGGTGGTCGAATACTGCCCGAAAGAGGCGAGCAAACTCCCTGTAGTCCTCCAACTCGGCTCCTCCTTCGTTCCACACTACGTTGGCCCACTCCAGGGCTTTCCCACAGAGGCAGGAAACGAGGACGGACACCTTGTCCCCCTCCGATGGTGCCGGCCTGATGCTGGCAAAGTAAAGCTCCAATTGGAGGAGGAATCCCTGGCACAGCGCCGCTGTCCCCTCAAACGCCCGTGATCGGGATATCTGGATCCCTCCTGGTGCTGGGGTGTAGGTGGCTGGATCCGGTTGGCTAGCTGGTCTCGACAGATCGGGTCTGCTCCTCTCCAGGTGTTGGACGACCTGAAGAACCTGATCCATCGCTTCCCCCAAGCTGGCCAGCATCGTGGAGTGCTCCTGGACCCGTGCCACGACTCCAGGCATGCGCTCTTCTCCCGCTGACTCCATAGCGGGTGGGTGATTCTGTGATGCGTGTGATAGAAGGATTCAGGCGCAGGAGAGTAATACGCATCCAAAGAGTTTATTCCGTCGATAAACAGTTGCGCAAGCATGCAACAACAACACTCAGGCACAGGGGAAATATCTACCCTGGCAACAACAAGGTAAGGGTAGCTCAACCGAGCTACACACAGCTCACTACAAACGATCACCCACACAGACAAGGAAGCAGAGGGAACACTTATACAATGACTAATTGGGGATAAGGACCAGGTGTGTGTGATTAATTAGACAAGACAAGTGGAGTGATGATAAATGGATCGGCAGCAGCTAGTAAGCTGGTGACGACGAACGCCGAAACCTGCCCGAACAAGGAGGGGAGGCAGCCTCGGCGGAAGTCGTGACAAGGGCTCTGGTCAAAAGTAGTGAACTATGTAGGGATTAGGGTGCCAATTGGCACGCATTCCTTGCCTTTATGTACATTAGGCCGAGCTAACGGATCACAGATTCATCTCCAACTAATTTGACATAGGCTCTGCTGTTTGCCCCTAAAACAGGACGTCAATAAATGGTCAATAGAAATACAATAAAGGATTTTCACTTACAGGGTTGCTACAATAGCGGGGTGAGTGTTGAGCGGAGCAAGAAGCACAGTTTACAGTACTAAGAGCTGGCAGCTGGTTCTGAATCGATCTACATTACAATGATAAATACAGATTGTCATCCTGTTTGCATAACAAACCTGGGCCGTCTACAGAGGCACAGTACAGTAATAGGATGACATGATAATACCAATTTTTACATAACCAATTCTATTTCATTAAGACGCCTCCGAACCATTATGTTTTGTGTAGCGATAGTGGATAAAATGGATGTTCATACGGTATGAGTGCATTTTGTATCTGCTAGAGGTATTTTTTATGGCTCTCCCCCAGTCTAAAACCCATGAGTAACGATGGGCAAATTGCTGCTTCATTTGATTCTTAGCAGTAGCTGGAATGAGTGTGTCAGCGTTTGGGATGGGGCTATTCGCAGAGGCCCAGTGGAGGAGGGTGGTCTGACACAGTGTGCCCTGCTCTACTCTACTCTGCTCTGCCCTGCCAACACACAGCACAGCATCAGGCCAATGGGACACAAGGGGGCCAGGGGAGCGTGCCACATCTGCTATAGGGAGTCAGGCGCAGCACATACTCTCTCATACACAGGCACGGGCACACCCACACCCACACCCACCCAAACACACACATTTTTGCTATATCCCAATTTTGAATGTCCCTCATGGCCAGAGATCCGATGTATATTATCCAGTCCATTCACCATCAGTAGTCAGGAAGGACAGGAGTTCTAGGAAAGCAGGACATTAAACCATTGGATTTAAACACAGCCTTACTCGGCCTGAAGCCTGAATGTGAATGTGGGAGTGCATCCAAACACCAACTCTCACCATCACACCTTTGTTACCTGCAGGTTAGTTGCCATCAAGGTCAGAGCCCTGTATCCTCTATAACTGATTTGTGTAATTAAAACAGACGTTATTTCTCTGTTCTCTTAATGGCACATTTAATCTCACTTGGCCAGAGTTTTTATTCGCAATAGTTGGAGTCTCTACTAAATTAATCACAGTCACGCAACATGCTTAATGAGTATTCCTTTGTTTGCATCTTAATTTACTTAAGGTTTATACCCCTGAGCCGCTAGTCTATTAGCATTCTCCTCACCTCTCTCTCCCACTCTCTCTCTCTTTCTCTCTCTCTCTCTCTCCTTTCCCCTCAGACACAAACACAGACCTTTTTGTTATATCCAGGGGATAAATAGTTTTTTCTAAAATGGTAACCTCGGTAATGAGAGTTTTACCCTCTTTCCAACGGCTGTAATTATATCTGTCATTGACTTCGATATTGCAAAGCCAGGGTTGCAATATTAATGCCTAGGCTTGTTTTATTGACTATTACACCTTTGCTAGGGTAGACCAGGATAGCTTAGTGGTTGACATACAGGCAACCCACATACATAATAGTATAGTCAACTCTGACGTACTCAGATAGTCAATGACACAGATACTCATACATGCTTCAGGGTGGACACACCTGCTACTACACATTGAAGGATTATGACAAGTGAAGCTGATGTTAATGGTCTCTGTGGTTCAGGATCAAGACCTCCTATTGGCTGTGCCCTGATGACTGGCTGGCTGGCTGCAGTGGGCCTGTGATGGTGGGAAGCCTTCCAGACCATAGGCTCTAGGATTTAAATTCTGAAATACATGTAGTCTCTGGGCAGATTGGATAGTTTAGAGTAAAAAATGAATGTGACTTTTCAACAGTGCTCTACATTTTGTTTTTAAACACAAGATAATTTCTGACATCTTGTCCTCTGCTCTTGTTGTGTCCTCCAAAACAGATTTTCACATGGTTTTGTGAGATGGGAAAATCATTCCAAGATTGTAGAGGGCTTTTTTCCCCAGCCTCTTTTCCATAACGGTTGAAGGTGCTACAAAGGCAGGCTTGGAATGTTACACCACTCTTAAAACAGGATCAATCTTACTAACAGACCAATGACAAGCCAAGGCTCCAGAGACAAAGGCCTATAATGAAGACAGAAGTGTGTGAATACAACCCAGCAGCTCAGACATGTACAGTAAATAGTTATTGGAGACAGCACATAGACAATGTGTTCATTTAAATGTTTCAGCGCAAGGTTTCAGTGGCTTCTCAGCATGGTCCCATGGTCTTGGTTGAATTTTCTATTAACCTGGACAGGAATGTTTCAGATAGAGCCTGAGATATCTCTCCATCCCCTCCATATAGGCATGTTTTGGAATGACGGAGGACCTGAGTTTTGTCTGACCATAATATCCAGACCAGGATAAACTCTGGGCCCTAGTGATGACTGTGTGTCTGCCTCACCATGTTAACTCCCACGAGTGAAGTGGGGCCAGAGGATGACTCAGAGCAGTGCAGAGTAGAGAGGCTGCCTGGCAGGGACAGGGAGTGTGGTGGTGGTGGAGAGAGCCTCAGTCTAATTCATCATGCCTGTACTGCACTGTGCTGTGCTGAGTGTGACTGGGCAGCAGAAGGCCTCTAAGTGAATTAGGATACTGTTGAAGTCATGCCATCGATCACAGGAATGCTGTGCCCCGTAATTCATTTTCCGTAAGTGTAATGGTCATAATTTTGGAGCACCAGGTTTCACGGGGGAGGGTGGGGAGGGGTTGGGGAAGGGGGTCTTTACTGTATCCCAGGCGCGTCCTAACAGTGGCCACCCCCCTTCCTCCACCCCACCCCCCCCCTCCCCTGAGCACAGTGACTTGTAATTTAATCAATTAAAGGCTATAATAGATTTAGGGGCAAGAGGAAGTGTAGATTATCGGTTTGGAGATCTGCAGCGAGTTATTCTTTGGGGTGATTTATAAAGAAAATAGAGTGCGCTCCTTGCTGAGGATCATTTAATAACACAGGGCGAGCAGAGTGAGGACAGCCAAATTATGGATGACACCCCTCCAGCGGTCCAACTCTCACGCTCACTCTCCCTTTTCTCACTCTCTCTCTCTTTCTCTCTTCCCACACACAGTCTGTACTACACACCACACTCTCACATTCACACACAAGCAAAAGCACTCATACACTCAAACATTCACACAGTACTGTATGACTGATCTAACAATGAACGTCTGCATCCTCAGATTCCAGGCTTGGGTGGTCCAGTGTCATGGTGATAAAATGATAATGCTAGCATTATTGAAACAGCTAGGCTTTACACCTCAGAGGGTTGAGAGCAGAGCCTGGCAATGAGAAGCAGAGAGAGAGAGAGCCTTTCTCCTTTCCCAGGGAGTCAGTCCAATCAAACAGTGCTCTGAGCACCAGCATAGGTTTCAGTCTCCACAGAGCAGCCTGCCCGAATTAAGGATTCCACTTTATTGAAGGGTAGAAAATGACAGTTCTGCCCTTGGATATGTGATTCTGGGGGATAAAAGGGAATGGTAATGTAACCTGCTCAGGGTTGCCCAGCGCCTCATCAGTAATAGATGTTTAAATAATTAGAAAGTACAAACAAATAAGGAAGAAGCAAGGGGAGAGCAGAGTGACGGCCTTCACTGAATCAATGAGGGACTGGCATGTTTCAACTGACTCACCCCGTTACAGCAGCCAGCCAGTTGGCTCCAAAATGTAGATGTACTCTGTCTGTACCCAGGTCTGGTTTAATGAGTCTCCTCCACCATCCACCACCTTCAGATGTTGCCCTGCCTGCCTCTTCTTTTGATAGATCTGTCTCTTCTCTCTCGTCCTGCTGTCTCTCTAGTTCCACTGTCTTAGGCTGGAGGCTAGCCCCTCCACCGCTCGCCTCTTCAATTCCGCCACCAGCCTGTGTCTATCGGCCTTATTGATCTCGGATTATGGTATCTGTGTAAATAGAAGGAGAAAATCACAAATCGATAGCAGACTGTTCCTAAAGCTTCCAATTCAGCCAGCTGCGGGCAGTGGGATCGCTGGAGCTTGGTCTTGTTGTGACCCTTGATGATACCATGATGATACCCTGATGATACCATGATGATAACATGATGATACCATGGTGATACCATAATGATACCATGATGATAACATGATGATACCATGGTGATACCATGATGATACCATGATGATACCATGATGATACCATGATGATAACATGATGATAACATGGTGATACCATGATGATACCATGATGATACCATGATGATAACATGATGATAACATGGTGATACCATGATGATATCATGATGATACCATGATGATACCATGGGAGATATTTTCTGCTCCCTTTCCCATTGTATCTTCTTTTCTGCTAATGACAAGTGAGTACAAGCTGTGTGTGTGTTTGTGTGTGTGTGTGTGTGTGTGTGTGTATACATGTGTGTGTTTGTGTGTGTGTGTCTGGGTGTGTGTGTGGGTGTGTGTGTGTGTGCGTGCGTGCACGCGTGCTAGAGAGAGAGAGAGAGAGAGAGAGAGAGAGAGAGAGAGAGATATAATATCCCTCTCTTTTTATCTCCACATTGCACTGGCCTGGAAAATTGCTTCATTACTAAACATTGAATATTTATGGTGTAAACAGTTCTAAATATCATAACTTTACTTATTTATTAGGTTTTTAATGAATGCTCCAAGTCGTTTGGTTGGTGTAATGACTACATCAGGATTCTGTCTGGGTCTGTCTGGCAGCGTCTTGTTCAAAGAGCTGTACATAACTGTAGATAATCTGAAAATGTGACCGGATGGAATGATACTGTAGAGCTTTCCCCACTCTTTAGACCTCACTGTGAATCCATGCCTTGACACAACAGCTCCTAAGAACCTAGAAGACTCCAATCAATTAGCTGGCATAAATGGTTAAATATATGCACTGGAACTGTGTGTGAACTGTGTGAGTTAGAAGATGTTGGTTTTAGAGTATACTCCTATCCCACTCCCAATGGGCCTCGTGTGGAGCCTGGGATGACTGTCTTTCTCCCTCCACTCCCAGTCTGTCAGACTGGCTCCTTCCATACAATTTGTTTTGGGATGAGGATGAAAACCCATTAATTATGAATGCCATTACTTTGTTTCCAGATTAATAGTGCCACGTTTGGTATTCAAATGTAAATGTATGAGATGCATTGTGTGGCCCTTTGTTCTTAACCTCCATGATTAAAACACATCGTAGTGCATTGTTTGCATTAGCAACGTATGCAACTGTTGTTGTTTTTCAGCTCTGTTCTTTGTCAATAGCCTTCATGTGAACCGGTTAGAAAACGATCACAGCGTGATTCTATGAATTATTATTTTCCCCCTGCCTGCCATGGAATATCATCCCTCTGGATGGAACAGCCATTTCCATGGACAGAAGACAATGTTCTAAATGTCTTTATTGTCTGCTGTGAGAAAGGCAGCTCAGCACTGAGAGGAGAGAGACAGGTTAAAGAGGATAGGACGGTGTTCTGAGAGCAGAGCCTGTTAGCAGGTCAGAGGTTAGCGGGGTAGACTGAGGTGAACACGCTGAAAGCAGACAGCAGCCATTGTTCTGAAGACTCCCGCCCCTTATTTTCCCACATGATTCTATCATCTGTCAGCCCAGGCTCACCTCCATCAAGTGGAAGAAAGGAAATTAAGTGACCTTACCCCGCTGCCGTTCTTCACTCTCTGAAATAGAACATTAGAGCTTCCCTTTTATGAAGTATTTGCATGCACAAGCACCACTTGGAGAGGCTGAGTGATGAAAGAAAGAATGTCTCCTAGAGGTCTATTTTAAACACTTGAATGGGACCTAGGATAGTAATTACATCTCTTCTTCCAGAGAATGAGTTGTACAACACTGAGGTATTGGGAAAAGCCACAGTAATTCTGAATGTAGAAAAAGAGGGCAATCTTATAACTATTCCTTTAATAATTGATTGTAAACAATTACGTACAATCGAGACTAGTACTCCATCGATCTGTCAATGGCTGCCTTATCATTTCAGGTATGTGTTATCTCAGTGTTGTGTGTATATGGATGGTTATTTACTGTTGGCTTGTTCTAGTGCTGGCTCTGTTTGTGCTGACACCATTCTCAGCAAATGAAGGAGAGATCACACAGACAGACAGGCGGTGTTGCTGTGCTGGCCCAGACAAACAAACAGACAGACAGTGGTGCTGTGCTGGCCCAGCTCCCAAGAGCCTCTTGGGCTTGGCCTTGGACGTGTGAGCAGAGCAAGGACAAGATGCCATGTGTGCTACTGCTGTGCCATCCTACTGGCAGCGGGCAGCGGCGGGCACTGCCAGGGCAGGCCATAGGAGCACCATGCCACACTACATTATCCACAGGGTATTGGCCTCTTCCTCTATATTTAATAATTAACCTGAAATGGCTGTGAGCCTCAGAGTTCACTGGTCCTACTCTCTCCAGCTCTGTACTGTAATCCATCTTTGGAACCAAACGGCCACTAGGCAAGCCCTGGGGGCAGGGGAACTAGCAACTCCTCTAAGGACCTGACCTGGCTCAGACAAGCTGGACATGTTAGCAAAAGGCTATTGGTCCATGGCACAGGATTTGGGTTAAGTGTGGTAATTTAACACATGGCTCTTTTTCACTGCAGAGTTTAGTGCCACCGCTATGTCCCCGAGCTGATCTCCAAGCTGTCTTGGTCATGCGGCCATATGCCCCCTCACCCTGTCAGAGAAAAATACAGTCATCAATGGGATGTTGACAGAAAAGACCCCCATCATTACCCATCATGTTTAATTTCCGCGGTCCTGTCCAGTGTATCTCCGGTCCTATCATATAACCAGGCTTTAGGCTGTAGTGGATGCTGTGTCTTTAGAGGGCTTCAGTAGTGTAGTGTGGTTTTTATTGTGTTATAAAGCTCAGGCCTTTGAGGATCCAATAGCTGAACCAGTAGCGTGACAGAGAAAGTTGAAAGAGTGTGGAAGAATAAGTACGTAGGTGGTGAGAAATCAAACTGCCTCCTAAAGGCATTTATTGTCAACCGCTAGAGTTGTTACTTTCTCCAGCAGTAAAGTACAGTACGCCCCTGCAACATCTTTTGCTAATATAGTGTTGACACTTTCAGTAGGGAGAATAAATTGCTTATAATAAAGCATGATGTCAATTTCCTTTGTTCTGCAGTTATCTGTTGTGTTTAATAAAAGGGGAAGGGTTTATTTTTACTCGGATGTCAGATACATTATTCTCTGAATAACATTTTTCCCTATTACAACACGAAGAGAGAGAGAGAGAGAGGCAGAGAGGGAGAGAGAGAGAGAGAGAGAGGGAGAGCGAGAGAGAGAGAGAGAGAGAGAGAGAGAGAGAGAGAGAGAGAGAGAGAGGGAGAGCGAGAGAGAGAGAAAGAGAGAGATAGTGCTTGTGCGTGCATGTGTGTGTTAATATGTTTAAAGTATATTAGTGAGCCTCTGTTTACTAGTCATTACAGTGGTTTGCATGTTGTGACTGGATGTGTGTGTTGGTGGAGTCAGCCTGGTTTATGCTGCTCTGCCTGCATCTCAGGCCTGGATGGATGGAGAGAGGGATAGAGAGAGGCAGATGGTGCTGTGTGATTGATGGGGCTGTCTCCTGCTGTCTGCAGGCTGTGTGGATCTGGGAGTCATGTCAATGACAGGTGGACTCATCTCGTCCAACTCTGTGTCGCCGCTGAGAGAGCCAGTGCCGCGGCGGAGTACTGAGCAGAGAGAGCATGAGGCCGGGTGTGTGGCTGGCGCTGAACATGAGGCAGAGCACAAGGCTGCTCTTAGCAAAACGATGACACAAAAGAAAGCTGCGTCACAGCGCATCAGTGCATTACTCACTCACTCCAGTGGAATGAGATCAGTCTAGGGTCACAGAGGGCTAGGTAGAGCTGCTGGAATATGAGGCTGGATGAGAACAGCTAAAGTAAAGCTTTATCTATCACACAGTCGATATTTATGTATAAAATATCTTGCCTTCTTTTTCTCTAAATGTTTTTCTTTATATTTTCCCTCTCTCTCTCTCTCTCTCTCTCTCTCTCTCTCTCTCTCTCTCTCTCTCTCTCTCTCTCTCTCTCTCTCTCTCTCCTACCCAGCATCCCTGTGGCCACGTCTCGGACCAGTGACCCGGGCCACTCCAGCGGTGCCTCGGGCAGCTCCAGCGAATCAGAGAGCAGCTCCGAGTCAGACTCAGATAGTGAGAGCAGCTCCAGTGACAGCGAGTGTAACGGGGCCTCCCGGACCGCCACCCCAGAGGTACAGCACAATCACTCCTTACTGTACTGTACCAACCAGGCATAGTCAGAATAAAACTAACTGTGCTATCAACCAATACTCAACCAGTGTTATGCCATAGAGGGAAACATGTACCCTATTATTTTAGGCTACAGAAAGACACTATATTACACTAATACCATCGTATATCACTAATACAACATTTTGATCGAGGGGAGAAAACTTCCCATCTACTCTAATATTACTATCATTTTGATAGGATTAAACTAGCAGACTTTCTTGTTTTAGGAAAAAGTGATAGTAACTTTCCCTCTTTCCCAGTTGTTGCAGTTGATGGTAGTAAAGAGACCTAGAGACTTGCATGACAGCTAAAGCAGCTAAAGCGCCAGGCACAGTTGTATTCCACAGAGGGGCACTCTGTTTGACCCGGGTAAATACTTACCACAGTGCATCTGGGTGCCCTCTACAGACCATGTGACTTCCTGTCCACCAGGGAACAGCCAATGGGAACAGCCAGGAGGACCAGGAAACGGCCCTGTCTGTCTTTAGGGATGTCTCATTCCCTCTCAAAGTGCACTCTACTGATGTTTTGATAAAAACCTCCAGGAGGGCCCAGGAGTTTTCCAGCAGCCATGTTAGATTGTTAATGTATTATTGCTGCAGGTCCTTTTAACTCCAAAAGTCCCCCTGCCCAGAACAGCTTAAATCCACCACCCCAACTGATGGAATGTAAAGGCTGGGGCTTTCAGAGATGAAATAGTGTGTAAGATTAAATTTTATGAATGCTTGCATCAGACTGGAAAGTGTGTGTGTTAGCCCCGGCTTTACACTCAATGGTTTTAATGCTTCATTCCTTAGTCAATTCATTTCCAGCACTTCCTTTCCGAATGATTTGCTATCATTTAGGAGATCATTCAAGACAGTCTTTATGATTTCATATGAAAGATTTATACTTGTCTAGGGGCATAATGGTAGAAAACAAACGATGTGAGATAGCATGGTTGATGAAAACATGGCACTCAGAGACTGCTGAATGGCGCAAGGACAATATGGGAGAGCACTACTCAGTCATTCATGAGTTTATGAGAGTCTATTTTAATGGCCGCTTCATCACAAAATGTTCTCATTGGTTTGCGGGTGTCATAATATAACTCTGAAGAGACAATTGAATTATCACATTTTACTTTCATGAGTCAACACAGTGTTTTCTGAAGCTATGTAGTCTACTATCAAACCAAACGTGGATCTAAATGTATATTCTTTGTCCTTTCTGATTTTCTTCTCCCACAGCCTGAACCTCCATCAACAAACAAATGGCAGCTGGATAAGTGGCTGAACAAAGTAACCCCACACAACAAAGCACTTATCAATACCCAGCCAGAGAGAGAGAGCCATGGGCTCAGCAGCTCCCAACCTGAACACAGCCAACAGGCCCCTGAGGCCCCAGGGAAGAGCAAGCCTGGCCCCACCGCCCTGCTGGCCCTGACCGACCCCAAAGAACGGGCCCTCCTCAGCCCCATCCGAGAGAAGGCCAAGCCTAAGACTGGACCAAAGGTCTCAGAGGGCAAGAGTTCAAAGGTCAAATCCCCAGCCGCGGTGGCGGTGGAGCCGGCCCCAGCCAGGCGCAGCTTGGGGAAGAAACAGCCGAAGAAAGTAGATCGCTCATCCAACCTGGAGGAACACACCTCCTGGTCCAAGCCCATCAACCCCACCATCAGCACTACACCCAAGGAGAAGGACCCTCCGCCCCTCCTGGAGCCACCCAAGTCCAGGACCAAGAGCACCAGTGGGAAGACTGCCCCTAGGAAGGAGCCTCGCACCACCACTACCACTACAATTACTCCAGCTCCTCCTCCGCCAGCCCCAGTCCTGGACAAGAAGAAGCACAGGGGGCCCAGCAAGATCATCCCCAAGTCCAAGGAGTTCATCGAGACGGAATCTTCGTCGTCTGAGTGCCACTCTGAACCAGAGGAGCTGGTCAAGATCCATAACCCTCCCTGTCCAGGACCCAGCAGTCTGCAGACTCTCAAAGCAGCCAAGGACTGCAACAGTAATATCCTGAGTGTCAGTAACCTTACCAGCACCTGCAGCACTTCCATATCCATCCCAGACCCTGGGGCCGCGGACCTCCTAGGGGACCCCCTCTTCTCCCCCGTCCCCATCGTCCAGAACGAACTGCTGTCCCCTCTCAGGGACTTTGAGGACATCAAGTCACTGTGGGTGAAGATCGAGCTGAGCTTCCTGTCTAGGATTCCAGGGCAGGACCCCCCTGAGCCCCCTCCTGTGAAAGTTGAGCCACGGGAACCACATGAACCCAGCACCAAGCACAGACGACAGTCCCCCGCCAGTCTTCAGTCTACCCCTGTTGAGAAACCACCTAGCAAGGCCAAGAGGAAACACAAGGCAAGTGCAGAATCTTTCTCACTCTTTTTTCTCTATTAGTACTGGCTGGTATTGGTTTATAGGATAATGGTTAGAGTGTGTCGATGGAGGAGCAGTGAGAAATGTGCTAGAAGTATGTTCAATGCTGACTGAGCTGTTTGTTTGTGTGTTCCTCAGACAGACCATTGTGATGCTGTCGGCGGAAGCAAGAAGTTACGGTTGGGGAAAGACCCCATGCTTCTTCCCCCATGCATTTCACCAATACACAACCACAAGAACATTAGCACAAAAGTGTAAGTGTCGCCGAACCACTCACAGCGCAGTACTTACTTACACATCACTATGGTTACTGGATGAGAAAAGGAATGTGTAGAGCATCCTGTTATGTAAGTGTTTAGAGAGATGTACACAGTCATTATGGGTGTCCGCAGTGCAGTGGAGGAAAAAGTACACAATTGTCATACTTGAGTAAAAGTAAAGATACGTTAATTGAAAATGACTCAAGTAAAAGTGAAAGTCACCCAGTAAAATACTACTTAAGTCTAAAAGTATTTGGTTTTAAATATACTTAAGTAAAAGTAAACGTATAAATAATTTCAAATTGCTTATATTAAGCAAAACCAAAAGCCCAATTGTCTTGTTTTTTATTATTATTTACGGATAGCCAGGGGCACACTCCAACACTCAGACATAATTTACAAATGAAGCATTTGTGTTTAGTCAGTCCACCAGATCAGAGGCAGTAGTGATGACCAGGGATGTTCTCTTGATAAGTTTGTGAATTGGACCATTTTCCTGCTCTGCTAAGAACTCAAAATGTAACGAGTACTTTTGGGTGTCAGGGAAAATTTATGGAGTAAAAAGTACATTATTTTCTTTAGGCATGTAGTGAAGTAAAAGTAAATGTAGTCAAAAATATAAATAGTAAAATAAAGTACAGAGAAATGTGCTAGAAGTAGTAGTACTTTAAAGTATTTTAACTTAAGTGCTTTACACCACTGCCGCAGTGTAATTACAGGCTGTTATATTTCCTAGGTGTGTGGTAGTACTGTATGTGTTGTGAATGGCTACGTCCTCAGTCAAGGTCCAACCAGTGTAGATCCTCCTCAGAGAGCAGGCTGGGACATACAGGAGAATTAAGGTTGCTCCCCTACACATTTATCTTTAGCTATTGCTAGCTCTCTCTGCAGTGTCCTGTGTCCTACAGCATTAAGGTAACGTGACACTGACAAGAGAGCCAATGCTAATTTTAGATATTCAATTAGTGCTGCAGAGACCTACTGCTCGACAAAGGGACGCTGGTGACAAGGGTCGAGGGGGTCGAGCGGTGTGAGTCCGGAGGACGGAGTGTCCACTGAGCTTCACCACTAATCACTACACATATCTTTAATATGATTACCTGCGCTATGATATATAAGCTGGCACGGGTATCTAGTGCAGAAATGCTGAACCCTTTGATCTGGGCTGAAATATGACCTGCTTAGTAGCCTTTAAATCAGCCGAATTTAGACAGCCTCAAAGCAAATCTTCACCCTTTTAATCAGATTGGCCTGAAAATGAGCAGAACCCCGGTTGGTCCATTTATGGCATTAATAAAAAGCATCTTTACTCAGATTGGAGAGTAAAGATGTTTTTTATTAATGCTGTAAATGGACCAACCGGGGTTCTGCTCATTTTCAGGCCTATAAAACAAGACAAAATATGCCGCTGTTCAAAAATAACCTGAGCAACATAATCCTAATTAGGTTTTCTGACTGCGTTTTCCCTGTTAGTGCTTTAGGCACTCTTGCGCTAGCTAAGCATTTTTTTCTCGTATATCAAATCCCCATGAGTTTAGGGAAAAGGGGGCAAAATAATCTATTGTTGCAAACAATGTGAAAAATATAGTAGCAGCGGGAGGCGCGGTTTCTCGCTACTACTGTACGTCCTTGGTGGTTTTTAAAGTCCTTATTGACTTTGAGGAAGGGAAAGTATTCAAGGCAACTTCTCCACCTGCCTCTTATCTGTTAACATAGAGAACACTATTGTTAACAGAAGCCCCATGTGGGCACACACAGCTATACCGAGAGAACCCACATGGATAAAGAATGCAGTCTGCTTTGTTCCCCTGTGAGGGGCCAGGCTCCTGGAGCAGGAGCAGATATTAGAAGGACTGTAAATCTAAGCAAAAGTGCTTTCTGTCATAACAAACTGCCGTTCCACTGCCTGATCAATCAATATGTTGACCTGTCAGTGCACTACAGGGCTATTTGTAGGCCTACTTCTGGGCTGCGTCCATAGAGGGTCAGAGGCACTGGAATAAACAATTCTATGGTTTTATACTTTCTTTTTTTACCCAGAAAATGATATGTTGAAGTTATATTAAATATCATTGATATACTCATGTACTGTTTTTATTGTAATTGAAGTCTCCAAAATGCATTACCATCATACCCAGCGAGTGGGGCGGCATGTGGCTTAGTGGGTAAGAGCGTTGTGCCAGTAACCGAAAGGTCACTGGTTCTAATCCCCCAGGCGACTAGGCAAATCTGTCGATGTGCCCTTAAGCAAGGCACTTAACCCTAATTGCTCTGGATAAGAGCGTCTGCTAAATGACAAAAAATATATATATAATAATAAATTAAACCCAGCTGATAGTGAGAAGTACAGACTCTATGCCTTAGTGCTAATGTTGTGTTTGATTTAGTCTTATAATAAAAGCAGTAATAATCACTCATTCTAACAAACAGAATATTCTGTCTAAGGCCAGCTTCTTTCTTTGAGCCCTGTACATACTGTCTGTACTTCTCAATTTTTCTACCACTACGATGACATAAGACATGAGATTTGCTGGCATTTCAAAGGCTGGGAGAACTTGCCGTCCCTCTCCAGTATTGTAGTGAATAACATGGAATAACAGCAACAGAGAGAGAGCAGGCCAAGCAATGTTCTTATTTTATGTCCGTTTTCGGTAACACTTTATTTAAAGAGTGCCTACATACGGATGTAGGCACTCTGCATTTCATAAATGTTCCTGTATGTGTCTTTGCCCAGCTCTCTGAGGAAACAGCCCAGGAAGAGAGAGGAGAAGCGAGAGCTGCTGCCTCCCCTGCTTTCTCCACTCTCCGACGAACCCCCTGTCCGCCAGCGCAGGACCAGCGAGTGTTCCTCCGTCAGCCAGGAGGGCGGCGCTAGCAGCGCCACCAGCAACTTATTACTACCCACCCTCAGCTGCTCTCTGCCCCCCTTCTCCTCCTCCTCCTCCTCCTCTTCCTCACACAAACACCGCAGCAAAGGAGAGAGCAAATCCTTCTCACATTCCAAGACAAGCAGTGTAAGTAGGGGCAAGTAGGTCAATGGCATATTATGATGAAACTAGCAAAAATGTATATTGTTGTTGTTCTTGGGCATTATTATACAGTATTGTAAAATATTATTTAAAACTGTCGTATTGCTATCATAAATTTTTTGGTTTATTGGTTTTTTGGATGGTTTATTATTTTAAAGTATGATACTTTTGCATTCACTCTTGTTTGCTAAGAGAATTTGTCTTCTAAAATGTGTTGTGTAGAGAAGTTGGTAGATGGGGCTGTTGCTGCAGATTATTTCTCTGCTCCAGCTTCTACCACTATTTCCTGTGTTTTTGCTAATCTAATTACCCTTTCGAGGGATTTCAAAACAGCCTTGAAGAGAGGAAAATGGATCCCATGTGCTGAATATGTTTAAAGCCAGGACATAAATACACAGCCACAACGTAGTAACAGCAGTCCAAATCACCAGGATGAGTCATTACAGTATTATTAGACTTACTGCTGGCCGCTAATTAGCATATTAATTGGCCCTGCCATCTCACAGGAGGAAGATACCCATAGCAAGCCGTCTGGCAGTTTCCATGGCAACGGTCAGTCCGATTCCGACGTTTGGTCCAACCCGTCATCTCTGTCCATGGACCACATGGAGCCCAGGAGGCCCAAACTAATGTTCAATAACACGTATGTATGAATATCTGACTAACTTCTCCAAACACTCCAAATACACCCTTTTTTTTTTTTTCCGATGCACAGCCAGATTTTAATGTCATGATGCATGTACTAATTTAAGTCTTTAACATGATTAAAATGGCACAGAATGTTGAAGCATTTGTGGGATGTGATTACAGAGTTGAGTTCCTCTATGTGGATAATTCAAAATGAAACAGATTTTATTTGTGGAGGACAACTACAACATGAACAACTGCAATCCAGGCAGTTACAGCACAGTTAGTCAGAGGCAAACACATGTTTCTGTCACTGATCTGTTTGTATTTCTAACATACTGTAAGACTAACCAAAGTCTCACTGTATTTGTTACCCACAGAGTTCACAATGCAGACTACTACATGCAAGAAGCCAAGAAACTAAAGCACAAAGCAGATGCACTGGTAAGCTTCTGCTTTATTACAGTTTAAAACAGCACCTGAAAATGTATTAAAAACATTTAATTCAACAGTTACTTTGGTAGACATATATTACACAAATTAAATTGTTCTTCCTCCTTAGATTGTATTTTGTCTGAGCCAGGCAATAAACACACTCTGTTTTAGTCAGTCACATGACATCACAAATATGAATAGCAACAGAGACCAGTGCGATAATACCATTATCAAATACATGCCAACATGCCATTGGCAAGCAGCAGCTCTTACTGAGCCAATTAGAGAATAAGTATTCCTGCTGCATAGCTCTTTATAACAGACAGACACTGGTCTTAGCTGAAGAACGCTAGTAGGTGTGCAGAGGATAGAGTAGAGCCCTTGTTGAGACCTGTAGTCTTTTCTAAGTGAGGCTGTGTGATCTGTCACAAAAGGAGCTCTTACACACCTCTTCAATATCCTCAAAGAGGGGCTTGGGCCCAGGCGGCGGGCGTGATTTACCAACACACTCATAGGGTCCTAATAATTGGATTCCAGCAATTATCTCACCAGGCATTGTCCTTTATCGGAAGTTACATCCATTTGGGCATAAATCTGATCTGCGAGGTAAAGCCAGCCATGAATACAAAGTGAAGGGAATTGATTGCCCTTGTTACATGACTGTAATCGTTGAGCTGTAATGAATCTTCCACCAGCCCGGTCGGTATGTGGCAAAAGGGGCTTACTTGAAATGGATAGAACCTGCTTGAGAGGTGCTTTCAGTGGAGAGTGGTGTGTAAATCTATTTTATTTTACACTCGTGCGTTTATGAGTCATATGCCTATTTTTGTCGTCTGCACTTTGGGTTTGTATTTTGGCTCTGTGTGCATATTTTTTATATTTTTTGGGTTTCCAGAAAATAGAAAAAGATCAAAAGAATGTTCCCCGAACGTTAATGTGACATTGTTATTTTTCCTTCTGATTAAATCTGCTTATTATCTGTTTTCACAAGAGCTTTGAAGCTTTGGAAAATGATTCAGTATGAGGAGAATAATTTGTGGCCGTGCAGTGTTGGGAATCTAATGCTGATCTTATTCGATGTCTCCATTGTTTCTTCACAGATGGAGAAGTTTGGCAAAGCCGTTAACTACGCTGATGGGGCGCTGTCGTTCATCGAGTGTGGCAACGCCATGGAGCGGGACCCGCTGGAGGCCAAGTCTCCATACACTATGTACTCTGAGACAGTTGAACTCATCAGGTCTGTGTCCCCACCAATGTGTCCCTCCCTCCCTCCCACCCCCCCTCAGGCCAGGTATCCCCACCTGCCCTCAGTGAAAATGAGCATCATTATGACCAGCGCTAATCCAGTCTACCCCACAAGTCAAGGCAATTAGCGGCCCTTATTTTATTAATGGCAGTGAAAATGAAAATAGATGGACCTTGTAGCTCATCATACTACCCAGGGATTCATGCATGGCTGATTGAAATCTTTTCTTCAAAAACTATTAGACACAGAAAATGACACAAGGCCAGTCGTTCTATGGAACGTCCCCTGGCTTTATGGATATTGAGTCATGCTCTCTTTTTGTTATTTGAATTAATGAATTCTGAAAAGGAAGAAAATGTTAATGTGATCTATGTTTTTGTCTGTTCTGCTTTTGAAGGTATGCCATGAGGTTAAAGAACTTTACAAGTCACTCAGCAACTGTAGCCGAGAAGAAATTAGCTGTTTTGTGGTGAGTTTTCCCTTCGCTCTGCTGTGTCCGGATGTGAAACCTCTGTGTGTGTGTCTGTGTGTGTGTGTGTGTTTGTGTGTATGCGTCTGATGACTGAATGGTGGTTGAAGGAGACCTAACATTGCACTGATGGATGTGATGATGGACTAGAAGCCCTAGCCTGTGTGGGCATTTGTGTTGATTTCAGAAAATCCAGCCGGCTTCCAAACCCGTTAGATGCTCAATCCGCCGATTCGCTCAAACACAATTTAAATCTCCACTTCAGCCATCACTCCCCGACAATCGGATGGATATTGAAGGGAGCTTTAAAACACTGCTAAAGCACTTAATCAGCTTAAAGTGGATCATTATTCTTGTATTTCATTAAGCTATTAAGGGATAATGAAAGATTTCCTGGCGGCAGGCTGCAGCCTATAAACATATACAGTACGACACACTGCTACAGGGGAGATGAAGGGAAACTATATGCTGCCTGTCATATGGACTGTATAATGTGAGCAGAATGTTATGGTTAGAATGTTATGGTTAGAATGTTATGGTTAGAATGTTATGGTTAGACACTCAGTCTTAGCAGTGTAGACAGTGATGAGCGTAGAAGTGAGATTCCCAGGTCATATTTCCTGTGTTAGTACACCGTTCAGACATCATTAGGGATTATATTCAAATATTTGACACTGGCTGACATGATCCATCTGTTTATAATCTGTTTTAGAGGGCAAAGTATGTGTGTGTGTGTGCGTGTGCATGCGTATGTGCGTGTGTGCACACGTGCGTGTACGTACTGTACATGCTGATGTGGTTTAGATTAGGCGAAACAAGGAAGCAGTGTACTGCAGTGATGACTTATTAATGCCTGAGTGTTAGTGTCATGTCATGGGGTGGTGCATATGTCCAAAGCATCTGGTGTCTGGCGAGCAGCACACTGTTGAAAGGTCAGCCACCCCATGGCACTGAGGCTGGATCTCCAGACCAAAGGTCCCTGGCAGGGAAGCTACTGGAATCTGATTACTAGGCTGCAGCCTCTGTTTTCTAGCCTTTAATTTCAAGCAATTAGAGAGATAGAGTTCGATAACAACACGATTATTTAGTCATGCATCGTGGATATGCAAAGTTAATGAGTTAGAAAACACTTTTTCCTTATTTTATTATTTTCTCACTTGTGTTGAATGCTTAATGTTCATAAGTAATACATAGATATGTAATGTTGTCAATGCAAGGTATACGGTATTAGATCCTGTATTTAATGTTATGTTATTATTTTCTTATCTCCGTAGCAATCGTTGTTTATCCCTCCTGTACTTGAGAATGTTCAAATTGAAGAAGGACCATGCAGTAAAGTATTCCCGTTCCCTAATGGAGTATTTCAAGGTAACTAGCGCTAACTTCTAATTCTAACATCTATGAATAAAAGAGGGGATAGTAGTAAACACGTAAAGCCAATTAAGATTTCTAGATGTAATATATATTTATGTTGAGTTGTGTATACTCTATTAGTTTTGTATGTAGGTTATTAAAAGCCATACAAATATTTGCAGTTAGTGTGCAAATTAACTCTATCAATGATCTACATTGATTGGTAATGCTTAAGCCTGTTTGATTTAACTATGTTACATATTATTCTAGAGGAGCTTTTTGAGTTGCATTAATAGATTTTCTAAGCTATGCAATATGTTTGCATAGTAGAGCTGCAAAATGTCATGTTCTCACAAACCTCTTCCATTCCAGAAAAGTCCCCAAGCACCTTCGCCATGGGGAGCCAATGGAAAGTGAGTAACATTTCACCTCATTCATCTCATGTTGCATCACAATCCTTTCTTTATATGAGATCTCTCCCAGAACAGAACAATGTATGTGCCTACTCCTGGCCAAGCAACAAGCTAATCCTCTCAGATGGTGACTGCTTTGTTCAGACAAAGGCCACGACAGACAGAGCCTCTGTCACTGTGACTTCCAGCTTCTAGCACATCACACTGATGGGATGAGATGAGCTCACTGCTTCACTGTTCTTCTGGATGCTCCATGGCAACTGAACCTAGCTGATCAACCCTGTGCGTTTGGGTTTGGGTTCGTAGCTTACCGTGTTGCTACCGTGGGGCTCGTCAGTGTGTCTGGGAGTTGGCGGTGAGCCATCCTCTGTGTGTGATTGTGAGCTCCTTGAGCCTGTCTGTTCCAGGGCTGGGATCTAGCCCTCAGCCACAGCGCTGACCGGCCCTGCTGTTCTGCTGTGAGAGGAGCTGTCAGAAGCAATTAGCCTCAGATCCTACTGGCTCCTAGGGCTCCTGCAGTCGCATCCAGTTCACCATGGTCACATTAGCCACAAACTGTCCTTCTTAATCCGCTTGGGTTAGCTCCGCTACCTGCTGCAACTGTAATCAACATTCGATTCCACTATGCTCTGGCCTCCTTTCCCACAGTTTGTTTGTTCTGTCCTTGACAATCATGAATCTTTTTTCCCCTTCTTTTCTTTTTTTTTTCTCAAGAGTTTGTTTATTTGAGGAAAAGACTCAACCTGCTAGAGAGGGAGTCGAGAGAGGCAAGCTGTTGACAGGGAACATAATTTAACTTCACGGGGCGAGCGCCTTTCAATTTAGTGCTGAATTACAGGACCTGGAGCCTGATTGTTTGGGTTTAGCACTAAAAGACTGATGAATATGTCCTCTGATTGATGGCTGAAGCCGGCTGACAGAAAATCAAGCCGTGATTGTCAAGCTGAGAAAAGCCCCAGTTTGCCGTTCATACAGTTCAAATCAGTATTAGGGATTAAGCCTGACGAAGAGTGGTTAAGCCTGACGAAATAACATTTATTGGCTAAATGTAAACCTACCCAGTTCAAATCTCCCTGATAAGTCTCCCTGGGTCAGAAAGTTAAGAAGGGAAAAACCTCTCTAAGGGGAAATGTCCTCATTGTGATCTCACGTTACTCCCTGTACATATATTTCACATTACTCCATGTATATACAGTATGTAATAGCTGCAGTTGATAGTGTCCTAAACATTACAAACCAGTATGAGAAATAGTATTCATGAAGCTGCCATAGCTTATCAATGTCTCCACCATCTTTTTTCTTCGTTTCTGTAAGTAGCCGTTTTGCTCAGGATTTCAAAAAGCATTGGGCTTAAACTTAACCCTGGTGTCCAGTGGTTGTACAGTACAGTATTATATCTGTGGTGGTGCCCTGAACTTTCACCTCTAACCTCTAACCCCTGACCCCTGTATTGTCTCTCTGTCTTCCCAGGAGCACAGGCACCCCGTCGCCCCTGTCTCTGAGTCCCTCCCCGGTCAGTTCGGTGAGCAGCAGTACGGGCCCTGGCCTTGCAGGCTCCGGTGCCTCTGGTGCCTCCGGTGCCTCCGGCAACGTGGCCATCCCCCAGCGCATCCATCACATGGCTGCTAGCCACGTCAACATCACCAACAACATCCTCCGCAGCTACGAGCACTGGGACACGGCCGAGAAGCTCGCCACAGAGAGCCAAGGTCCTAGAGACTGGACACAACACAACACAGATTCTCTCTGTTTTAGAACAGGATGTTTGGATTGGAGCTGTAGTATTAGCAGCAATGGCAGATTATGTATAGTAGTAGCATAAATTGTACTGTTGTAATCGTAGCGGATGTATCAGTAATAGTTTCATACAACAGTGATCTCACTTTTGATATGCTATCCTATATTTTTCTTAATTACATGCATCTCCATTCATGTTCAACCTTTTTTCATTGTACACAGTCATTATAAATGACTTATTATTCCTACCTGTTAGGAACCAAGGCCAGTCAGATCCTTTTATCACCCTCAGAATGGTCTCAATATGGACTAATGTATTCTGCATTCTTTTGTATTAGATGTGGAGAATAGATGAGCCCTTTACATTTACTGTCATTAGTGAGTGAATGTAGAGAGAGAGAGACCACCGGACATGTTGAGGACACCCCCTCTGACTGTGTGCATGGAGGGTTTGATGTGTCGTGTCTCTGTCATTTCCCATCCATTATCTGAGCCTAGCTGATTAAAGGGGCATGTTATGTGGCTGTGTGAGGCGAGAGCTCTCTCTCGCAGCCTCAGAAGTACCCCATTAGAAGTTGATCTGACCCTCTCCTCCTCTCTGTCGACACTCATAATGGGCTCAATTAGAGTCTGTTGGATGTTGTCTTTGGTGGAAATGAGACAGGAATTGGCCAGTTATGACACCATAAGGCCTAGGTGGGCCTTTCAGCACATACTGATCACCAGAGCTGTTACTTTTAGGATTGAGCCATTCCAGCACTCATTCACTCACTGTTTATTCGGAGAAAGAGAGGAATGGACAACAGACTGCATAAATGTGACCCTTTATTATGCTATTACACTTGTCAGTCTTTGTCTTACACACACACACACACACACACTCTCACTTTCACTCACCCTCTCCCCTTCCTTTCCTTCCACAGAGTTCTTTCAGGATCTGGACTCAATGATGGAACCGTTGAGCCAACACAGCAGCATGACAGGACTGGTGCGCTACATACGCCAAGGACTGCACTGGCTACGGATAGAGGCCCACATGTTATAGTGCTGCTGGAACTGGAACTGAACTGTCTGCCACTGTCTGTCTGTCTGTCTCACAGCTCCATCACTACCTCTACCAGCCAGCATCACCCAGCAACCCCCAGTCTCCAGGCATCTGACTCCAGCCCCAGGGGCCCCCACCACACTCTGCCAGCCAGCAAGCCCCACTCTGTCAACTCTCTGTGGTCAGAGGTCATCATGATGAGGTCATCATCAGCTCTACTGCACAGTCTGTCTCTCTGCTCCCTCAATACAAAGTTGACATTTCCGTTGGATGTGGAAAGAAAATTGTGAAATCCAAACCTCAAAGTGAATGAAAGGACAGTCCCACCTAAGACCTGTGGATTGTCTCCAAAGCATGCCAATATAAGAGAAGGATCTCTGTGGTGCAGTATGGTGGTTGTTTTGGTTGTTTTCTGCCCGACCGAGCCTGTGATTTCCCTGTTGTTGTTTTGATCTGACCACCACTAAGGGCCTCTCAGAACACCTGGAGTATTGTTCACATTTCACACCTCCATTCCAACAGGCAGATGTCTCATGAAGTTATAAGTGCTATCAACTCTTTTCATTGTTTTGTTTTTTGTCGATGCCTTGATGAACTGGCCGACAGAAGCCAGTTGGATAAGTCTCTCTCTACTACTATCTGATAGTGGTGTTTATTTATGGTCCATCAGACCTCAGTCTCACATCAGATAATAAATAGAGCAACAGTTAGCCAATGCCTACCATAAGTCCCAGTGGAACAACAAATCATTTGAAATAATTCCATTACTTGTTGCACATTGGAAATGAACAACAAATAATCAAATTCAATCTGCCACCTCAAGCAATTCCTCTAGTTGTGGGGGGATTTGCATAATAATGTAGTCTACTACAGCAGATCTGATAACAACTGATCGGGATCGTGTCTTTTAGCCCTAGAGTTTGGTGGTGTTTTTTTTTTTTTTTTTGGTTGATGTCATTTTTGTACCTTCAGTAATAAGATAATAAGAGGCTGGATTTATTCCAAAGCAGCACTGATTTTCCATGGGTCTAAGGGAACAGGAAATACACAAAGTGATGCATCACCTGAGACTGTGTTTAAATGAATATGAATCATGCAATCACTGTTACAGCACCACCACAAACAGTATACGCCACAATTAGTCCAGTAATGCTACAGAGGACCTTTACATTATCTTTTCAATGTCTTCAATAACTGCTGTGTTGTATATCGCAACTCTTTTGAAATTCAATGTTGGTTCAGTTGTGCATGTCCACAGAGAGGTGTAGAGTTTTAAAGCATAATCCATAGTAACACTTCTTATGTGTTCTGTGCATAGTTGTACATTTGATCATCCGTATATTTAAACTTGGCTTGATGGACATACTGTATGCCATCTAAATGAGATACAGGCAGTTTTCCTAAGGAGGAAGTATTATGGTTGGTTTGTTGTTGTTTGTTTTTATTTGGATGTGATGTGAGAGAATGAACTGAAACTAAGTGTGTGTGTTGCACTGTGCAGAGATGATTTGGGGATGGATTCTCTATTGCTGGGTGTCTGTGCCTCTCTCTCTTTCTATAGCACCGTCCATACAATGTGTTTCAGTAGACCATATCTCCATGGCAATGTGTGAAATATGATTTTCACTATGATAAAACAAAGTGCCTCCGTATCCAGTGAAAATTATTAAGAGTCTATATTGAAGAACAAGAATGAATCTAAATGATTTTTCCATACCATATTGGTATATTAGATTTTTTCATAAAACCACAATTTATTAATGTACTTTTTACTGGCAAGTATGATACCAAGTTTGGCTTTAAAATTGCAAATGTGTGACTTACATGTATCAAATTTCTAACTCAGTTACTGTTTAGAGGATGGTGAACGGGATATTCAGAAACGCTTAAACATGTAAATGCTTAATGTGACTTACTAGAATCAGTAGATGAACACTCCAACCCATTTACAGCAATAGCTGGATGATAGCGCTAATTGTGTTAATTATCTTGTTACTAAGAACAAGAGCAGAATCAAAAGACAAATGCACTTAATTCATGTTCAGTGTTTCTGGCATTTAGAACGGTGACCCATATAAAATGTTTGGAGTTTTTATCACTTGATCTTAGGCCAAATTAAGCGTTTTGGAATGTCCCAAGAAAAGACTGAACAAATTATAGATAAAACAACATGTTGAACTGGATTGAAAAATCACTTGATGTTGATCCATTAACTGTCTTATTTAGATTTCATGTCATTCAGTGTTGTTTTATGGAACAGTGTTTGTAGCCTACATGCTATTGTAACCTCACAAACAGTGCTCATTTAAGTCAAAATATATTTTAAAGCTGTAGGAAGCCACATCATATGGTAATAGCAATATTTACACCAGTCTTAATGTAACTAAATGAATTGAGAAATATGAAAGTGAACCTAACCACTTAAACTTTATTTGTACTGTATCTGAAGTGCATTTTTCATTTTGCCTTTTGCAACAACAACTTGTGATAATAATCTCATAGCTATCAGTCAATGTTGAGTTGAGGGAAATGAAGCGTGTGCATAATTTTTTTATGCAAATGATCACATTTTCTCCTCCAGTCCAAATTAGCCAACTGTCTTTGCCCCTATGAGGGAAGCAGTTTGTACACTTCCAGTGGCTTTTCCCAGCTGTTCCTATTCACGCTAGAGACAGGCCATTCTGTCAGGGAAATCTGTGGCCCTTTGGCAGCTAGTCAACAGCACCAAGCAGCACTAGCAACTCGTTCTCGCGAGCGTCGCTCTCGTAGATAGAGAGAGAGAGAGAGAGCTGAGAGAGAGAGGATGAGAGCGAGGAGAGAAGAGAGCGAGAGAGTCGAGAGCTAGATCGAGATGAGAGAGAGAGGAGAGAGAGCTATAGCCTCTCTGTCTCGCTATATAGCTCTCTATGCCTCGTCTCTAGCTCTCTCTCCTCTCCTCCTTCTCTCTCTCTCTCTCTGCTATCGCTCTCTCTCTCGCTCTCTCTCTCTCTCTCCTCTCTCTCTCTCTCTCTCGTCTCTCTCATCCATTTCATCTGATATAAAACAACCAGCTCCATACTCAGCCCCAGTCTGGCACCGACGAGGAGCAGCTAATGTCTTGCATTCATTCCACAATGAGGAAAGGCTGAATCAAATTGGCTTATACCCACCAGGGAGAACACAATCAGTTTTTGTTTAAAATGTATGGTTTTATGTCTAAAACAAGGAAATTATGAAACGTTGAATGAGGTGCCGTCTGGACTGGCAGTGTTACCAAGCCAATGTATGGTGTGACCTAGTCCTCTGTTTGGTAAAACCAGGTGATGATAATAACATATCAGGAAGGAATTACTACTCATTAAATGAGTCCCTAATTGGCTTGATTTTATATTGCTGCTACAAATGTTGATATTTCATAGATAGATTTATGAATACAGGAATTTTCATTTTAAAATGAATACTTCTAGAGAATTGTATTGAGAATAGCCTACAAATCTTTGACGCATTGCAGAGTAAACAAACATATGTAAACTATCCTAGCTAGAGTAGGTACAGTATGAAGTGCAGCTCACCTTCTGCGTCTTCTCAGTTCAAAGCCTGAACAGTATTTATTACAATCAGGCACTACTTAAGAGCAGAATCAATAAGAGTTGTGCCCTCATGCAGTGTTAATGTTCAAAGGATGTTATCCTAGGTTCACTGTAATTAGCTCCAATGCAAACAAATCAAGCTCATCTAAGGCAGAGACAAGGAGGGATGTCGGCATGGCGGGAGTCAAAACCAACCATTTCTGCTATCAAACTCATCATTATTATTATTATTATCATACACCTAGAAGAAATCTGACAGACTATCAACACAATATTATTGTGTTACAAATTGTTGTATATTTATCATGTTCTTAATCATAATTTATTCTATTTCTTTTTTTTTAAACCTGCTTTTTTGTCTGGAGTGAGTGAGGACAACACAAAGCCTTATAGCTTGGCTGAAGTCTGTCATTTTGGTGTTTTTCTTATCTCTTGTTCCATTGTTCAGGAACAATTATCTCCAATTAAAGGAAAATTCCACCCAAAACGTTCTATTGGTATTTGTTTTGTCAGCAATCAAGTTTTTAAGATATATAACCTTCAAAATACATAAATACAGCCGGTATAATGCATTTTGCATAATTTGATGCAAAACACATCATCATATGATGCAAAATGTTTTTGGATGGAGTTTTCCTTTAACATTGTCCCAGCTGGAAGCATTCTGATCGCTCTGCAAATGAAGCACTGTAAATAACACTTAGTTAACACAAAGTACCACACCATGTTAGTCAATTAACGACTATGTGACTCAATGTTGATTCATATTCAGTGAATATTGTGTCATATTTAATATGACTGATACAACTTGGACTGGGTTTCCATAACATATGAACATACCTATTAGCAGAATAATTTGGTATAATTGGTTTGTAGTCTAAATGGCTTGTGTCTGTGACTGCAAACCATTGCCAATCACTTGGTGTCACTAACAATAGTGCATGTTGACCTTCGGTTCACCAGAAGTGGTGGTTATGCAAATTGAAGTCAACAGTTGGTATATGTAGCTTTCTTTAAACTATGTCAGACCCTTTCTTCAGCTTGTTGGTGTCTTAAAGCAGTAGCAGACATGCGTTAGGGAAAATGAAGAACAGTTATCCATAGATCCCCTTGCTGTTTATAACTGTACAGAATGATGAGGTGCTTTATGGTTTATGTCCTCCGGTGTAAAGGATTGTACCATATGGAATATATATTACTTATTTTGACTGCCCAAAGCTGACAACAATGCATTGGAAATCCATTGCCTTGACATGAGTGTATTGCAGACCAGTGACATCTTACCACCCCTTAACCTATGATCTTTTTGTAGTCTGTCCTGTGTGACCTTGGCGTTTCAGTCATTCCAATGTCACCTGGAGTGGCATTTCTCTGTATCCTCCTCCACTTCATTTTGTAAAAGAAAGACAACAAGATTATATAAACTAATGTACAGTTTCAGTCAACAACAGAAAAAAGGCATTTACTTATCATGGCTGTGCTTCCTACTTGATTAAATAGATGAACTACAATTTACAGCCATTTATTTACCAAATGGGATACACATTTGATGGAAAAATCATGTGCTTTTGATACAATTGTATTTCTGAAAGTATTATTAAAACTCTGTAACGTTATGATGTTGCAGATGGACAAATTTATTGTGAAAAGTAGAGCGATTTCCCAAAGATCAGTTCCCTATGTTCAAGCCTTAGAGATAAAACTGCTCAATGACTTTAACCAACATGTTTTTCAGACATGGAACAATCACTGTCAGTTCTGGCAACATTTCAGTCAGATCCATTTTAACTCTGAAATGCAGCATTGTTACATTAATATAAATCTTTCACAGTGTTCCAAAAGCAATTAATTTTCAAAACAGTTAGCAATGCTGATAGCCATAAATTAGCCCAATGACATACTGTTCCTCAAGGCTCAAGCTTTATATAAATACTTAAATGCTACCTATTCCCTAAACGATGTACGATGTTGGTCAGACATCAGGGAAGAACAGGGTTACCATTCCAAGTAAATAGCCTTTTCTCTCACTGACGTTTTGTCGACAGTTTAAAGATGGACAATGTTGTAAACAGAAAATGCAAAGACAGAAGTTGTCTTAGTTCAGGCATGCTTTAGTTTTTAGTTTGTTAATTTTTGTACAGAGCAGGGTAACTGTTATGCTATGGATTTATTAACGTATAGTTGTAAGGATTCATTAAAAATGCGTTATGTATCAAAGAAACTTCCTGCCTGGTTAGCTTTGTATTTCAAATGTGTTGCACAAGTTCTGCCATTTTTTATTATTATTTTTGCCTATTGTATGGTTATTTTATAATAAAATTGTTTTATGTAATGATCAAACATTTAAATGATAGTTATGTTGTTTTTAAATGTTTAATGTCTGTAAAAAATGGAATAAAAATGGTATGAACCGGTGAAATTGTTCCTCTCCTGTTATCTCATTTCCAATCACCGTTCTGTTTATGCCATTATAAAGTGTCTGATTAATTGAATCGGGGAATGCACATTACATCAGAGTTGCCTTGAGTAAAATCACGTTTAGTTGGCATCTCGTTTTAACGATTGCATCCCTTCATTTAATGACTTGTGAGAATACCATTAGTCTCCTTAGAATTGTAATATTACAATAAAAATGTAATAAACAGCTAGCTATGTATTTAGGATTGACCATTTGTTCCCCAAACTAATGTCAGTACAGTAAATGATATATTTTGAACAACAAACTTTATATAATCTGTTTTATTATCAAGGCCATCATTTCTGAGGGGAAACACACAGTCAGCTGAGATTTGAGATAGTACAGCAACAGTCCTGTCACACTAGTCTACTGACTGCCATCACAACATTAAGACAACATTAACCCTTTCTCTCCACAGTAAACACCATCATCAGATTCCCACAACAGACACAGGGATTAGAGAAACAGGACAGGAATATGATTAGAGGAGAGGTGAACTCAACTCACACATTCACAGGGGGACATTACATTGTATCTGTATCTCCCATGTGATCAGCAGCATTCCACTGGTTCTCATCTGAATTAGCCTGTGGTGGGGGGTTACTGGTCCTCATAACAGTGCATTCTTTATGGAACTAATAGCTTCTTCTAATTTATTCATCACAGGAACAATGTGCATGCTCCAGCATGCCATATTAATTTACGAGTATCCTTATGCATTGGAAGGCAGGGGCTTCTTTAAAGTGTTTTAAAATGCCAAATATAAGTATTTTTGTGTGGAGACAGGAATCCCACCTGCTAAATAATTTCCCAAATGAGGAGTCAAAAAGGCTTTTATTTACTGACTCTAAGCATTTACTTTGGCTGTGGCATTGAGCCAGCCTGCTGACAGTTAAGATGTATTGATTTAATTGCCTAAGGTAACCATGCAATAAAATCATCTCAAAGATACATTTTCATGGCATTGCGCACCATCAAGGTACTTTTTCATCTGCTACAGCTATATATCTGCAGGTTACCATTGCAAATTCACAAGTCAAAGCATCTCATTAATCTGGTGACTCAAATCATTTGTGAATTGGATTCTGTGATTTATTTTCTCTGCGGGAAACTCAGGAGGAACTAGCTACATGTTAAATGACAGGTTGCATGTCTAAGTAGACTGCTTAATACAAATTCATGCCAAGCCAACTAAATAAGGGTCTGTTTTTCCAAGGAAAATGTATGGGCCATGCTACAGGCCACACACACCATTATAAGCACTGGCATTAATCCGAAGGAACAGTTTTTTCTCTCTCCCACACTTCTCCCTCACATTGAAAATGGCACACTCAAACTAATAAATATATTGCTCTCCCTTTTCAAAATAACCTTTTGGGTAACCCGTTTTCAAACAGAATATATTTCCACTTACACCACTTACACTAACTGACAATATATTTTAAAAGTGGTCATTTAAAAATATTGCTTTCCTCAATCTCTTCATTTGTTAAAATGCAGGGATGAGAGATTTCCTATTCACATTTGTTTACAGCGCAGCAGTACTGACTTGAGTATGTTTAGCACTTAATTGAATGATTCTTGATTAAACTCTGTGCCTGGTGAGAACAGCACATCACATTGCACTGCTCTGTAATTGGCTTGCTTGTAAGATTCCACCTGCTTTAGATGCACAGACGGCTCCATTTCATTTATTACATCTTGGTTTCACATGCAGTTCATAGCCAGGCAATCAGTCTGATTGCTAAGGCATTCTCTATCCACGTGGCTTTGTCTTTGTCTAAAAGAGCTCGTTTGTACAGTATCTCTCCCAAAAGATCAAGTTATATCCACATTAGGCTTGCTTTGCCACTCATGTGGGAAGAGACTATAACCATGTAAATACGGTGCATTCGTAAAGAATTCAGACCGCTTGACTTTTTCCACATTTTGTTACGTTATAGCCTTATTCTAAAATTGATTAAATACAAATTTTTCCTCATCAATCTACACACAATACCCCATAATGACAAAGTGAAAACAGGTTTTTAGACATTTTTGCAAATGTATATATAAACAAATATATATATACCTTATTTACATTGCTATGAGACTCGAAATTGAGCTCAGGTGCATCCTGTTTCCATTGATCATCCTTGAGATGTTTCTACAACTTGATTGGAGTCCACATGTGGCAAATTCAATTGATTGGACATGATTTAGAAATGCACACACCTGTCTATAAAAGGTCCCACAGTTGACAGTGCATGTCAATGCAAAAACCAAGCCATGAGGTCGAAGGAATTGTATATAGAGCTCCGAGACGGGATTGTGTCGAGGCACAGATCTGGGGAAGGGTACCAAGGAATTTCTGCAGCATTGAAGGTACACAAGAACACAGTGGCCTCCATCACTCTTAAATAGAAGAAGTTTGGAACCACCAAGACTCTTCCTAGAGCTGGCCACCCGGCCAAACTGAGCAATCGGGGGATAAGGGCCTTGGTCAGGGAGGTGACCAAGAACCCGATGGTCACTCTGACAGAGCTCCAGAATTTCTCTGTGGAGATGGGAAAACCTTCCAGAAGGACAACCATCCCTGCAGCACTCCACCAATCAGGCCTTTATGGTAGAGTGGCCAGACGGAAGCCACTCCTCAGTAAAAGGCACATGAAGGCCCACTTGGAGTTTCCCAAAAGGCACCTAAAGACTCTCTGATCATTAGAAACAAGATTCTCTGGTCTGATGAAACCAAGATTGAACTATTTGGCCTGAATACCAAGCGTCACGTCTGGAGGGAACCTGGCACCATCCCTACGGTGAAGCATGGTGGTGGCAGCATCATGCTGTGGGGATGTTTTTCAGCGGCAGGGACTGGGAAACTAGTCAGGATTGAAGGAAAGATGAACAGAGCAAAGTACAGAGAGATCCTGCTCCAGAGTGCTCAGGACCTCAGACTGGGGTGAAGGTTCACCTTCCAACTGGACAATGACCCTAAGCACACAGCCAAGACAACGCAGGAGTGGCTCAAGTCTCTGAATGTCCTTGAGTGGCCCAGCCGGAGCCTTGAACCCGATCGAACATCTCTGGAGAGACCTGAAAATAGCTGTGCAGCGCCGCTCCTCATCCAACCTGACAGAGCTTGAGAGGATCTGCAGAGAAGAATGGGAGAAACTCCCCAAATACAGGCGGGCCAAGCTTGTAGCGTCATACCCAAGAAGACTCAAGGCTGTAATCGCTGGCTAAGGTGCTTCAACAAAGTACTGAGTAAAGAGTCTGAATACTTATGTAAATATGTTATTATTTTTATTTATTTTTATAAATTTGCAACAATTTCTAAAAACCTGTTTTTGCTTTGTCATTATGGGGTATTGTGTGTAGTTTGATGAGGGGAAAAAACTATTTCATCAATTTTAGAATAAGGCTGTAACGTAACAAAATGTGGAAACAGTCAATGGGTCTGAATACTTTCCGAAAGCACTGTAAGTGTATAAATCTAGACGACAAGTCTCTCATCCCAACTCCACCATTCACCATTAAGCTCAAACTGTCATTCACCTGCTCAGTCATGTGAAATAAGTCATTAAGAAATCATGTAATGTTGATAGATGACTCAGTAAGCATTTATCTGACAGATTATTCCTCTGCCTCTATGACGATCTTCTACTGAAAGGTTTTTTTGATTTAACATTTCCTTCACATTATTTGGTTTTACATGCAGATCAGACTAATTAATCCAATTTTTTTCTTGCTTCTCAAGACATGGGGAATGATGGTTTACCAAAATGATTCCTCCCCGCTGGGCAAAAACTGGTTGAATCAACGTTGTTTCCACGTCATTTCAACCACAGAAATATATCTGATGACGTTGAATCAACGTGGAAAATGGAATGGATTTGCAAAAAGTAATCAACGTAAGGGCATTTGTTGTTGATTTCATGTTGAATTCACATTGACAACTCAACCAAATGTAAATCAAAACTAGAAGCTGAACTGACATCTGTGCCCAGTGGGTCGTTCCTTACTCTGCCTTCATGGGATTACCGGGGGTTTGGTAACAGAGACCTGTTATTCTGATAGACACATTCATGAGGTTGGCTCCCTCTGACACTCAGCACATGTGGCCTCTGGCCCAGCTTCATTTGACAGTTGGTCATGGTCCAGAGAAAATGTAATATTCAGCGTTGGTTAGATAGAAAGTTCTGGAAATCTCTCTGTTAATAGATATATAATTTATTTTATTGTGCTGATGATATGCCATCTAAACAGTTGTGGACAGACTAATTTTAGGTTGAGGATTGCCTTCAGTATATTGTATATTTAGTAGAGATATTCTCTGACATAAATTTCATAAACTACTACTATCCTCATCATAATGACAAGCAGCAGCGAGCAATTCACAATTTATAGAGCCCTGAAATTGGCTCCGTTATTCACTTCTGGATTCCAATTATTTTCATTAAATGGCCATTCGAGAAATAATTCCCCAATGCTGGCGTTTGCCCAATCGGATTGTGAGTGTTCTCCTGGCTGACGTGTGGAGCAGCCCTGTTGAGGCACAGCTCGTCAGTGCATGTCAGCAGGAAGTATTTCCATGTGGGCCAGTGACAGTGTGTCTGTCTGTCAGGAGCAGCCTCAGTCATCATAGATCAATGCACCCAGGCAGCCCCACTCTCGGATGTAGCAATAGTCTGGCTTTTATTACGCCTGGCACTTGACAAAGAACAGCTTTCTCCCCCCAAGAATTCACAGCCGCCTTATTTGAAAATATATATTGGGCTTCCCAAGGTTATAATATGAATGTATTTTCTCTTTCCCCTGGCAGATTGGAGGGAAGCTGATGATGTATGAGCCATCGCCCGTTATTTATTTGCCAAACTGTTCCAGATGTGGAGCCATCATTTATCTGCTGACAAATCAAACCTGCCGCCTGCCCTCTAATGTGACCCCGTAGGAGCAAGAAGCAGGCACCAGCAGACCTCCTCACTGATCCACTCTACACCCACATGCAGCAGACAGGCTCCTTAATCCACTCTAGTCTACACCCCCACCGGACTCCAGATCTGAAGTCTTTAGACAGGTTGAAACATAATGTTTCACAATCCCACTGTCTTAATTTCAATATGGTCTTTTTCTTGTCGTGGTTGTATATAGAGAGTTGGTGACCAGTACACTGACCAGGTGAATCCAGGTCAAAGCTATGATCCCTTATTGATGTCACTTGTTAAGTCCACTTCAATCAGTGTAGATGAAGGGGAGGAGACAGGTTAAATAACTATTTTTAAGCCTTGAGACAATTGAGCAATGGATTGTGTATGTGTGCCATTCAGAGGGTGAATAGGCAAGACAAAATATTTAAGTGCCTTTGAACGGGGTATGGTAGTAGGTGCCTGGTGCACTGGTTTGTGTCAAGAACTCCAACGCTGCTGGGTTTTTCACGCTCAACAGTTTCCTGTGTGTATCAAAAATGGTCCACCACCCAAAGGACATCCAGCCAACTTGACACAACTGTGGGAAGCATTTGAGTCAACATGGGCCAGCATCCCTGTGGAATGCTTTCGACACCTTGTAGAGTCCATGCCCAGGCGAATTGAAGCTGTTCTGAGGGCAAAAGGAGGTGGTGCAAGTGCAAGTCAATATTAGGAAGGTGTTCCTAATGTTTGGTATACTTACTGTATATTCCGATATGCATATCTTTGTAAGACAAATATTTGTACATTAAAATGTACGGCAAAAAAATATTGTAACAAGGCAACAGTAAATCATGGATTGGTGCTGAGACTGGAAACAGGAACCGGGAACTGAGGCTGGTGCAGGTGTCAGGTTGTGATCTGGGTTTTTAGAGGAGAGGAAGAACAACTTGAGGAGCAAGCTAACGCACAAGGAAGCCCTAGACGCAGGGGTCAGTGATGGCTATCATTAAGACTGCAGACAGTGTACACACTTAACCTGTAATTAAAGAACACAACATAACACATTAACTGGCATGACAATCCGTCTTACGGGAGGCCAAAAAGCACTAAAACAAAGCCACTCCCAAACTAGCCTCCTAGACTTCTAATAGGCTGCTGCCGCTACAATATATTTGTTGTCAAAATGCATTTCTATTGTACTTGACACATACTTAAAGCATACCAAAAGGACACATACTAAAAGCATACCAAAAGCACTAACATGTATTTAAATTACTACAAAAATTATACATTATCGGTCATGTAGTAACTCAATGTCTTTCATGTGCAAATGACAAATAAACAAACACACTTGACAAGAGCATTGCAACCAACGTCCAATGGGCAGAACTTAACATGTACTGGGTCAATCCATGAAATTAGTTATTTTTGCGTCCCTTTGACGTGTTAACTAGAAATGATGCACCAATATTGAATTTTAAAACCTGTTACATGAAATGAAGTGCCCTTTAATATAGACCACACGGAGAATTCAATAAATCAGATTTTCAATATGAATAAAGACTTGCTAAAGTGCCAAGATTCACCATTTTGACATGTCCCTCCATGCAGCCTTTGTGACTTCTAGGAAGATGTTAACCCACTAACTCCAAAAAATACTCAAAGTTTTCACCATTATTGTAAAGCCCTAGTTATTTTGTTGCTTCAAAGTTATTTCTGAAGATTATTATTTATTGAATGTGATTATTGTCCCTCATTTTAAGGTCAACCCTGTAACGTGAACTGAACTCTCATTTTAATATGGTGAAACTGTTCCTTTTTAAATATTTAATAGTCTAAAACCTGTTGGTTCTACTCTTTTTGGCCATTTTCTGGTGTTTTGTGGTGAAAGACTGAGCTGGTCGAGCATAACACACAACCCTATTTCCCATAGATAGACAGGCTAGAAATGTTTTAACAATTTAAATTGCTTTCAATTGCCACTCCCTGTTGCACACAACAAGCTTCCATTCCCCCTGTCACAAAGGGAATCATGGCTGATTTAATGTTTAAACCCATATTCACTGCAATGCCTTCTATTCCCTTCACACTCCGACCCTATTACAGTTTATAGATGGTGATGATAAGAGAAGGGGCAATGACTCTCCCTCTCATCTAGTGCAGATGCTCTGGGGCCGGATTGTGGTCATTTCAGAGAGCCGCTACGTCTGTGAACTTTGCTCATAATCCATTTGTGAGACATGACAGGAATGAAGGTGGGTGGAGAAGGGGCTGCAGCCTATCATAGCTTCAGCCGGTTGTAATCCCTGACCAGGGTCACAGGAAGGCAGAGAGGCACAAAGACCTGCTCCATTTCCCCACCGGACAGGAGTCAGACACACAAAGACAACCACACTGACCCTCTGTGGTAACACAAGACTTCTGTAAAAATCCTAACACGCTCTAATGTGCCATAAGGCAATTGGACAATGAAGTCTGTGGTGAGCTGTAGTGTTGTAATCAGGAAATGTTATGGAAGCTCGACAATGAGCTCACACTGACTCACTGACTTTCATTTTGCTGGCCATTCAATCTTGTAAAATAGCGTCTCTTTTAACCCAAAGGATTTGGAAGGGAAACATGAATTTACTGTAGAATACAGAACATACAAAGCTATGTCTGTGAAATGCCTCCCTATGAACAGATGATGAACAAGATGTGTTGTAAGAGCAGCTGAGAAGAATGTCCAGTATAAGCCAAAATAACAACAACACCACGTCTTTTTAGATTAGTTTTATACCCTGGAATAATTTGAAATGTATCCAATGATCCCAGTGGTCCTCAGAGACTACAAGAACCTCCCTCTAAGAAAAGCTCAATAGCATATGAACACACAGTAGCCAGGGCCAGGCCTGTTGTAGCGGTTATTCAATCCAAACAGCCAGCCCTCAGAGTTCAAGAGCTGTTTATCAGGCTGCCTTTCATGTTGACATCGTCTGATCTATCACTGCTTTCCAGTGGTGTAAAGTACTCAAGTAAAAGTACTTTAAAGTACTACTTAAGTCGTTTTCTGGGGTATCTGTACTTTACTTTACTATTTATATTTTTAACAACTTTTACTTTTACTTAACTACATTCTTAAAGACAATAATGTACTTTTTACTCCATACATTTTCCCTGACACCCAAAAGTACTTGTTACATTTTGAATGCTTAGCAGAACAGGAAAATAGTCAAATTCATACACTTATCAAGAGAACATCCCTGGTCATCTCTACTGCCTCTACTGGCGGACTCACTAAACACAAATGCTTTGTTTGTAAATTATGTCTGAGTGTTGGAGTGTGTGTCACGCCCTGGCTCTGGGGACTCTTAAATGTTGAGCCAGGGTGTGGATTTTCTATGTTTAGTTTTCTATGTTTTTTGTTCTAGATCGTTTAGTTCTATGTTGGCCAGGGTGGTTCCCAATCAGAAGCAGCTGTAGCTCGTTGTCTCTGATTGGGGACCATACTTAGGCAGCCTGTTGGCACCAGTTAGTTTGTGGGATCTTGATCCGTAAAGGTTTGGTGTGTGTAACCTCAGGACACGTATCGTTTCGTTTTGTTGTTTTGTTCGTGTGTTGTGTATCAATAAAGATGTACGCTTATCACGCTGCGCCTTGGTTCCACGAGTCATCAGTCAACGTGCGTGACAGTGTGCCCCTGGCTATCTGTACATTACAAATAATTGCTTAATTTAAGGAATTATAAATTATTGAAACTTTTACTTTTGATACTTAAGTATATTTTAGCAATTACATTTACCTTTGAAACTGAAGTATATTTAAAACCAAATACTTTTAGACTTTTACTCAAGTAGTATTTTACTGGGTGACTTTCATTTTTACTTGAGTCATTTTCTATTAAGGTATCTTTACTTTTACTCAAGTATGACAATTGGGTACTTTTTCCACCACTGCTGCTTTCACTGGGCTATCTGGTTTAGCAGTTTGAGCCGTGCTGAGCGTCAGGGTGCAAGGTTCACCCTCCCAGCCTCCCCATACGGAAATAAATACATTTCAATATATTTAACGCACATAAAATGTATTTCAAATACATGTAGATACATTTGCATATTTGCTAAAATGCATGTAATGCCTTCAAATGTATTCCAGAGATGTATGTACAAAATCCCCCCAATGAACGCCTTGAGTCTTATGCTGATCTGCTAATTAACAAAGGAACTATCACACTGTGATAGAGATTGTCACCTGGCTTTGACACTTTAACATAGTTTATACCTGGTACTAACATGCATCCTTTTTCCTGATCTTGTTCACATTCTGATTGTGCCCACATTTTCAAAAATATGTCTACAAATGGTATTAACCCTTTGACGCGTACGATCACATATGTGTGATCATTGTTGAGTGGTCCCTGCAGCGTACCATTGCAAATATGTAATTGGAACAGTAGCAACAGAACGTACGATGCAACAAACGCGTCTAAACAGCATTGTTGTCTGAAAAGCATCTAAATGTTTTGTACTGATGGGAAATAAAGGTCAACTTTATTCCTCAATTTCACCTTTTATTGTAAAAGATAAATGCGAACTTCATCATCCAAACATCACACGGAACACATCCACAGCCAAACTCATTACTTAAACCAGTCTAAATAACAGGTTTCGCTGACAAAAAAACAAAACATAAGTTAGCGACCTAACAGCTATACTTGTTTTCAAAGTACCACATCTCTGGTGAGCACAAGGGAGAAAAGTAATATTGTTTAGAAAATAGATGCGTGTCAGCTAAGCTAACAACAGCTACATTCTTTATGATGGCAGCCATGTTTGTTTATGTTTGACATCGAAAACTCCCTAATCCCAGAATTCCATTCACTATAAGATGTAAATTAGCAAAGTCAAAGTCAAAGATGGCTGCGCCCATTGCTTGAAAAATATTAACTTAGTTTGGCCAATTTTCAGCATATTACAAATCTTCGATGTACTTGTTACAGTGTATACAAGAACCGGAGCACATGACTTGACAAGTCGTTTACCGTTTTTGCAAATCACAAAGCAAATAAAATGCTATCACCTCACAGATCATCACACCAAATACAAGCCTACTGCCTATCCTAACCGTAGCGCGAAAGCTAAACAGGGATGAAACCATTTTAGGGGGGTTTGTGGCGGGGTTATGTAGCACTATATTGGATCATTACATTTACATATTTTAGTCATTTAGCAGACGCTCTTATCCAGAGCGACTTACAGTTAGTGAATACATATATATATTTTTTTTCATACTGGCCCCCCGTGGGAATCGAACCCACAACCCTGGCGTTGCAAATGCCATGCTCTATCAACTGAGCTACATCCCTGCCAGCCATTCCCTCCCCTACCCTGGACGACGCTGGGCCAATTGTGCGCCGCCCATGAGTCTCCCGGTCACGGCCGGCTGCGACAGAGCCTGGATCACTCCAATATGGTATCCTTCCGCGCAGCAGGATACATTCCGAGTAAGAATTTCAGATTAGTCCCGTGTACCAGCTCATTCCAGAGAGGATTCGCTTGGTAAGAGCTCTATGTTAGAGTGTATAAGCGCAGAAGAATACCAGCAGCTATTTAATAGCTTGGAGCAGCTAGCTACTGTAGCTAGCCTCTCCATCAGGGTACTCTGCTGTCCCCCCACTCGGTTTGGCATGTGCCACCTCGTTTGGGTTTTGTCCTTGTTTTTATTACTTGTGACACTGTACCAACCTGGGCGATACTCGGTTTGGTCTACCAATATTGTGGTGCTGAGGATTTGTCTTAGTTGATTGTGTGACTTGTCTGTCCACCGGAACCCTCCTGGTTACAGCCTTTAGGTTCGGGGACCGCCTACAATGTCGGGAGACTGTGTATGTTTCGCTCCGGCGGGTTTGCACTTCTCGCCTGAGAGTGAGCTAGGTGTCACGAGTTGCACCACGTTTTATCTCTCACAGGGCGCAGCCATCTTGCCCAGACTCTTGTGTGTTCCATGGTGAACGAGCTATGCAAAGTAGCTAGCTTAACGAGAGGTGACCATTCCAGGACTAAGCACGGTTATAAACACACTTTCCCTTAAGTCCTGCCAATCAGCACCCCCACATATATAGCAAGAGATAAGCTATAAACGTGTGTGAGGTAGAATGCCAAGCAGTTTACACTGTTGGCCTAATTATTTTTCCACAAGGAAAAGTTAAAGCCATTCATGTCTCATCTCCTTCATTCAGATAGTGTATGATACTAAGGCTGATACTGTATGTCCCATTCAATACTATCATAAAGTATTGCGCAGTGTATACTATAAACACAGTAATATTAAACTGTTGTCTTCAGTTTCCAGTATTGAGCTGAGTTTATGTTAGCCCAACCATAGTGAGATTACACTGGTGTTTTTTTCACACAGTTGCTGGGCTGCGATAGTTTTGTTACACTATTTTACAGTACAGACAATAACTATCATAGTTTCCCTTGGAAAACTCACATATCAGCTCTATTACACTGAGGGTTTCAGTGTGTAGCTGTATGTACTATAGTTCTGTTGCACTACTTTACAGTACAGACAGTAACTATCCCTTTCTACAGTTTTTTTCACACAGTGTGTAGCTGGGTTTACTATGGTTTTTTTGTTGCTCTACTTACAGTAGGCTACATACAGTAACTATGCTAGTTTCCAGTAACCATCCTAGTTTCCCTTGGAAACTCACTTTTCTGCTATTACACTACGCTCTTGGTGTTACTAGTTTTCTGTTGTACTCACAGTTAAGACAGCAACTATCTTAGTTTCCCCTGGAAACTCACATCTCAGATCTATTACACTGAGGGTTTAAGTATATTGCTGGGTTTACTATAGTTTTGTTACATTAGTTTACAGTACAGACAGTAACTATCATAGTTTCCCTTAGAAACTCACTAAACAGCTAGATTACACTGCTGGTTTTATGCAGTGTGTAGCTGGGGTTGCCATATTATTTTGTTATACTGCAGGGTATACACTACCCATCTCTTCTTCCCACAGAAATAAACTACAATTTCCAGTATGGCTTTTCGCTTTGAGAAATGCGAGGTGTCCCTGACCACAGGCAGCGGACTGCATCTAAGAAGGGAGGCACTCTGCAGTCATTCTGAGGTGCTTGCTGCTGGCATTGGCAGCTTCTCACAGGACCAAAGGCCAAACTGAGAGAGGCAAGTGAAGTCCCCATGGGTACTGAATACAGTGATGGAAGGCTACGAATTCCAGTTCCGATGCTGGCCACTCATATAGTTCTGGTGCCTCAAATGTCTCTGGATCTTCTAGTGTTGACGCCCTGCTTGACTGAATTTTTCCGAATGAGTGAAGATGGAGTGCCAACCTACATCCAAACCCCTCATTCTGGCCAGGGGTTCTGTCTGACAGACACGTTAATCGGCCCCTCTCGCTGTTACGGGTGAACTAAGGGCTTCCACCAGTGTGTTGTGCCCGGCTAGACACTTTTCACAGACGCAGGCAATACGAAAGCTTTATCAGTTTTTGTTAACTATGGTGAGAGAGTTCCTGCAGTGACTGGCCCGCTGGCCTTTGCCTTTTGCTGTGGTGGCACATTCTACTGGAGAAGTAACTGCCTTACCTGGACGATTGGATAGTCTACGCCTTCCAGGGAACAGGCCACAACAGACACGAGGACCCTCTTTAACCACATTCGAGTTCTGGGCCTCACCTTAACATTTTTACATTTACGTCATTTAGCAGACGCTCTTATCCAGAGCGACTTACAAATAGGTGCATTCACCTTATAGCCAGTGGGATAACCACTTTACAATGTATGTTTTTTTTTTTTACCGAGGGGGGGGGGGGGGGGGTTGGAGTAAGGGGGGGGGGGGGGGGTTGGGGGTAGAAGGATTACTTTATCCTATCCCAGGTATTCCTTAAAGAGGTGGGGTTTCAAATGTCTCCGGAAGGTGGTGAGTGACTCCGCTGTCCTGGCGTCGTGAGGGAGCTTGTTCCACCATTGGGGTGCCAGGGCAGCGAACAGTTTTGACTGGGCTGAGCGGGAACTATGCTTCCGCAGAGGTAGGGGAGCCAGCAGGCCAGAGGTGGATGAACGCAGTGCCCTCGTTTGGGTGTAGGGACTGATCAGAGCCTGAAGGTACGGAGGTGCCGTTCCCCTCACAGCTCCGTAGGCAAGCACCATGGTCTTGTAGCAGATGCGAGCTTCAACTGGAAGCCAGTGGAGTGTGCGGAGGAGCGGGGGTGACGTGAGAGAACTTGGGAAGGTTGAACACCAGACGGGCTGCGGCATTCTGGATGAGTTGTAGGGGTTTAATGGCACAGGCAGGGAGCCCAGCCAACAGCGAGTTGCAGTAATCCAGACGGGAGATGACAAGTGCCTGGATTAGGACCTGTGCCGCTTCCTGTGTAAGGCAGGGTCATACTCTCCGAATGTTGTAGAGCATGAACCTACAGGATCGGGTCACCGCCTTGATGTTAGCGGAGAACGACAGGGTGTTGTCCAGGGTCACGCCAAGGCTCTTCGCACTCTGGGAGGAGGACACAACGGAGTTGTCAACCGTGATGGCGAGATCATGGAACAGGCAGTCCTTCCCCGGGAGGAAGAGCAGCTCCGTCTTGCCAAGGTTCAGCTTGAGGTGGTGATCCGTCATCCATACTGATATGTCTGCCAGACATGCAGAGATGCGATTCGCCACCTGGTTATCAGAAGGGGGAAAGGAGAAGATTAGTTGTGTGTCGTCAGCGTAGCAATGATAGGAGAGGCCATGTGAGGATATGACAGAGCCAAGTGACTTGGTGTAAAGCGAGAATAGGAGAGGGCCTAGAACTGAGCCCTGGGGGACACCAGTGGTGAGAGCACGTGGTGCGGAGACAGCTTCTCGCCACGCCACTTAAACGAGGAGAAGAGTCACCTGACCCCTCACGGAAGGTGATCTACCTCGGGATTTCCATAGACTCGACTCTCATGAGGTGAGAGTAACAAAATCCTATTCTACCTCAACCGTTTCCGGCTCGGACGAGCCATGTCGGTGTTAGAGTGCCAACAGTTACTCGGCATACTGACGTTGGCTTCACTGTTGGTTCCACTGGGCATTCTCCATTAGGCCACTCCAGCAATGGTTCAACTCCCACGGCCGGCACCCAAAACAACACAGACACCGTCAACTGTTGGTGATGAGTACATGTTTGAGGACCCTATCGAAGTGTCTATCCTGCTCCTTCCTAATAAAGGGGGTGAGCCTGATCAGAGTCCACCACAGTGAGCTGGTGTGCACTGAAGCCTCTCTAACAGGTTGAGGTGCCGTGTTCAGAGGCAGCAGGCCGTTGGATCCCCCTATGGAGTGGTCAACACATCACTGTGCTGGAGCTCAGTGTGGTTCGCCTAGCTCTTCAACAGTTCCAGCCCTACCTGGTAGAACAGCATTTCCTTATCCAATGGCTCGGGAGCTCTTGCCATGGGCCCAGACCCGATTGGCATATCCCTGGGGTCCTGAACAATGCAGCGGACATGCTTTCGAGAGACGGCCCACCGGGGGGGGGGTGGTGGGACTAGAGTCTACACCTTCAGGTAGTGCTATAGCTTTGGGACAGGTTCAGGAGAGCACAGGTGGACCTGTTTGCATTTCAGGAGAACACTCATTGCCCCAGCTGGTTCTCAATGTCGGACCCTATGGGTCTGGATGCCCTCGCTCACGATTGGCTGGCAACGCCGTTTTATGCTTTCCCACCATTTCCCTTGATCACAGCTACGCTAGACAGGGTCATCTTGATTGGCCACCAGCTGCTCTTGATAGCTCCATGCTGGCCGAGACTACCATGGTTCAGCCTTCTGTTGTCTCTCCTATCGGGGACCCCATGGCAGCTGCCCCTGAGGCCCGACCTTCTCTTCAAGCCGGGGGGACACTGTGGCACCCGGAACCGCACCGCCTCCAGCTTCGGGCTTAGCCCTTGAGAGGCGTTAGTGGACCAGTCTTTCAGGACAATGTGGTAAACATTTTGTGGAGCGCCATGGTTTCTTCCACCAATGTGTCATATCAAATGTGGTGGGGCATATTCTGTACCTGGTTTAAGAGCCATATGTGCAAATGATTTTACGGTTTTCACTGTCACTGCTCAATGCGGGCCGAGCGGCATCCACATTGAGAGTGAATTTAGCCGCTATCTCGGCATGCCATGACGTAGGCCAAGAGGGACCCATGACTGGCTACCCATTGCTCTCCAAATTTATGAAGGGAGTTCGACGTCTGTGTCCAGCAATGGTCCTCACGGTGCCAAACTGGAACGTTGCAGTGGTGCTGTCAGCGCTTGCTAAGCCTCCCTCAAGCCCCTAGAGTGGATGACTTTGAAGCACCTATCCATGAAGGTGGCATTCCTGTTGGCCATTACCTTCACTAAGAGAGTGAGTGAACGTCATGCCTTTTCAGTGAGCAGAATGGGTCCAGACAAGAGGAGTGTCACCCTCCACCTTAACCCCTCATTCTTGCCGAACGTCATGTGAACCGGCCCTTACATCTGTCCGCATGTGCTCCTCCTGCAGCTGCGGGTAAGATGGGTGTTTTTTCCCCCAAGTGTGCTCTGCCCGGGTCAGGGCCTTGGACACTTACATTACACAGACACAGGCAATACGACAGTCTGATCGGCTATTCGTTTGCTATGGTGAGAGAGTTCTGGGCCAGAGCCTATCGATACAAAGACCCTCACATTGGATTGTGGACACTACTACTACTGCAGCATATTGGCTGGCCAGCCGGCCTCTGCCTCCACGTCTGCTGTAGTGGCATATTCTACTAGAGGAGTAGCTACATTGTGGGCACTGCCAGCACCTTTTTCTAGGTACTATCGAGTCATTGTTGCCCCTGCCAATGTGCTGGGTGTTGCCTCCGCTTCCCTAAGTGGGTACGGAGGGACATAGCAACTATGACTGCCCTGACTTTGCTCTCTGTCTGGCCCTTACCTAGTTCATCGAGTAATCTGGTATTGTGATACCATGTTGGATTGATCCAATATAGTGCTACATAACGAAGATTACGTATGTAACCATGGTTATGTGAGCTATTGGATCACTCCAATCCTCTTTGTTGGTGATCTACGGCGCCTCGAAAAGGAAACGAGGTGGAAGTAGTGTGGCGGCAGCAATTTAAGGGGGTCAGCCGCAGTACTACCCGGTACACGGGACTAACCTGAAATTCTTACTCGGAATGGATGGGCCTGGGAGGGCATATTGGAGTGATCCATTAGCTCACATAACCGTGGTTACATACGTAACCTTCGTTCATTTCATTTGTGGGGGGGTTTTCAAGTCCATGGGGGTAGAAATGGGGGAAGGTATCGTGGGGGGATATGATGCAGGAAATATTACTATGATGGGGGATTTATCAGTAAATGGAGGGCAAAGGAAAGTCTGAGCTGGCAACCCTGAAGTACCATAGTTACAATCGATTGCCGCGTTCAAATCAACTGCGAACTGGGAACTCGGATATCTCCAACTTCCGACTTCAGTGAGTTCAACACATTTTTGAAAGGTCATCCAACTCAGAATTCCAACTCAGGAACTCAGGCCTCTTTCTAGAGCTCCGACTTTCCGACCTGAAGATCACTGACATCATTTGAACTAGTATTTTTCTGAGTTCCCAGTTGTCTTGAATGCACCATAAGTCAATGAGTGAACTATCCCTTTACCTAATTTTTTATGACATCCTTGGTCTGACAGACACATATGTGACAACCAAAATGCATTGTATGAGGTCAACAAACATGGCGCCACACATAGCTGTCAAATAGCTTACCGTTAGCTAATCTTAATTATTACAACCTGCAAAAAAGTATTTTACACACATAATATGTGTCCATTACAATCTATGCAAGACTCGAAATGCATGATTTGTCACCAGTACTTGAAAGCATGTGAATAAAACAGTAAATACATTATGCTCCAGACATACAGTACCATTATTCTACAATGTGGAAAATATTAAAAAATAAAGAAAAACTCTTGAATGAGTAGGTGTGTCCAAACTTTTGACTGGTACTGTACATACGGTATGCTACAGTAGAAACGACAACACAATATACAGAAAATAAGGCACTTACTTTGATAGGAACGCACACATGTCCAAAGTTATTATTTGTAAGGAAAACAACAATGAAGGCAATGCGGTCGCCAGCCAGAAAATGTACCAGGGGGAAAAGGTTTGTGCAAGGCCTGTTTTGACTAGAGATGCGCAATGTCTTCATAGTCTTCATCTGGAGAAACACTGGGAAAGTGCTTGGGCTCTTGTTAAAGAGAGAAGTTTGTCTGGCTCAGTAAAGCCTCAAACATAAATAGTCTGCAACAGTGAAATGGGAGACGGAACACACCTCAATTCACACTGTTGTTAGAAAATCAAACTTGTTAGATATTTTTGAGACATAGCCGAAACATAATTAGGAGGCAGCTTGCCTTGGTTTGAGGGCAGCGTGGATTACTGTCTTGTTGCGTAACAATCATGTTTTGGAACAGTGAGTGCATTCTGAAATCACGCTGGGGCGCCTGTTAGAGATATTTAGAACTCATGTGTGAAAAGGTTCAAATGTGTCTCATATCCGTCCACTGTGTCCACATTATGACCAGATTTCCTGGTCCCTCCCTGTATGCAAATTATTTTGACAGCTGTATTTTCAAAATATTATTTCTGTATACTGACCAAAAATATAAAGTGTATGTCCCACGTTTCATGAGCTGAAAAAAAAGATCCCAGAAATGTTGCATATGCACAAAAAGCTTATTTCTCAAAAATGATTGCACAAATTTGCTTACATCCCTGTTAAAGAGCATTTCACCTTTGCCAAGATAATCCATCCACCTGACAGGTGTGGCATATCAAGAGGCTGATTAAACAGCATGATCATTACACGGGTCCACCTTGTGCTGGGGACAATAAAAGGCCACTCTAAAATGTGCTGTTTTGTCACACAAAACAATGCCACAGATGTCTCGAGTTTTGAGCGAGCATGCAATTTGCATGCTGACTGCAGGAAGGTCTACCAGAGCAGTTGCCAGAGAATTGAATGTCCATTTCTCTACCATAAGCCGCCTCCAACGTCGTTTTAGCGAATTTGGCAGTAAGTCCAACCGGCCTCACAACCACAGACCATATGTAACCACGCCAGCCCAGGACTTCCACATCCGGCTTCTTCACCTGTGGGATCATCTGAGACCAGCCACCCGGACAGCTGATGAAACTGAGGAGTATTTCTGTCTGTAATAAAGCCCTTTGTTGGGGGGAAATGTATTCTGATTGGCTGGGCCTAGCTCCCAAGTGGGGAGGCCTATGCCCTCCCAGGCCCATCCATGGCTGCGGCCCTTCCCAGTCATGTGAAATCCATAGATTAGGGCCTAATTAATTTATTTCAATTGACTGATTTCCTTATATGAACTGTAACTTAGTACAATTGTTGAAATTGTTGCATGTTGCTTTTATATTTTTGTTCAGTATATTTATTTTAAGACTTATTGATGCCATAAGTCAATGGTGCCACCTGTCAATGATTTTAGAAGGTTTTACTGTCTAGATCTGTCTACACCTGTAATATATCCAGACACAATGGGTCCCTGACTACCTTCGGAGATGGTCAGAAAGATCTGATCACAATCAGATCACAATGTGTCTTTTAATTGTCTACACCTGTCTGAAAATGTGGGCACAATCAGAATGTTGACAAGATCAGGACAAAGGATACATGTTAGAACCAGGTATAAATGGCGCTATTGACATGCCTAAAATGAAGTCATTATCAGAGATTAATGGGACTGTACCGGAGATATGGTAACCTCATTCATGGTGACAAGCCCCAAAGGAAAAGGGTGAAAATGCATCTGAGAAAATGTGGCTACATTGCGACAGTCTATTCACTGAGAGTGAGCTGACATGGCATGAACAGTGAGGTTGTAGCAAAGGACTCTGAGACTAGTCTTTGGTCTACAGAATTAATATGTTTAAGTTTCACTGTGAACATAAAAAAACACTAATCTTGATGGTTTGATCTTTGTTTGACATAGACATTTCTCCAGCATAAACAAGTTTAGGCATTCACAGTGAGAGAAAAATTACTTATTTTGGAAGGAATTTTTGCTTTGTACCACAAACACAAATAGAGAAAACAACTTTGTTGCTTCCAGACAAATTCAATGTTTAAAAAACATGAACAAATGTGGCTGTGTGTGAATCTGTTGCTCGCACCAAAGAGGCACCTTCCTTTTAATTCCCTGAAAGAACTCCAGAGCCCAAGGTCTTCTGTCTGCAGGAGAGAAATCTGAATTGGGGGTCACTGACTTGAAACTCATTCCAAAACGGAGCGCTGAAAGATAATCCAGCGGAGAGTTTTTCACTTCTGAGCCTCCTGGTAT